ACGCGTACCCGCTTTTACTTGCCGCAATCTCGTCTCTTCCCGCGGGGCCTTTACTTCGATAGCTCGATTCGAATTCTCCGCTTTTGTCTCAAAATGATGTTCGCGCAGCCCATCTAGGCCATCTCGGTGCAGGTCTTGCAGGGAAGATTGTCGGTACGACGGAGGTGGGCCAAAGGACAGAAGAGGCGTGGGACGGGCTGGAGACGATGTATGTCGTGATAGACGATTATATACGTGATGACCTATAACACAGCATTGCTGGATATTGTATTGCGACTTACGTACTCTTTGTTCACATAGAGAGTTGGCTTAATGGATGTATTTCAGCCAAGCGGTTACCTCGGCATTGGTCGGAATAGAGCGAGCATATCTGACTGACTGGAGGTTTCAACTCTCGGTAGAGTACGCCGAAACTGAACATCGGGATTCACTTCTCGTGTGGACCTTTAAATGTGGTGTCAGTGTCGATATCGAAGAAACGAGGAAACGACGGGGAGCTTGCATGTACTAACCCCATTGGAGTACCCGAAAAGGACGCCGCGTATGGAAGTGCGCACAGACGGGTTCACCCGTCCGCAGCAAAAGTTCCGTGTGTGCACCACGGCTCATAAACACGGTAAGAATGCAGAGGCGTAGTGATGTTGCTTCAATCTTCTTTTCGAGTCAGTAGACCCGAACAAACTTCATCGCACTGCTCAGTATGAACGTGCAATCGCGCAGTGAGATGCGATCGATCGTAATCGATAGCGTGTGTCGAGGGTCTTCGATCGTATCTTGACGTCAGCTGAGTCTTATCTTATAGCTCATCTCTAGCAGAGTGTACCGTTAAAGGATGAACCCATAACAACACTTCTTTACATCGGTTTTGTCTCCAATACCAGCCTAGCAATAGTTTCTTTAGTCCACTAGGTCCATGTATACATCCAATGGGAGTAGAGAACGCGCTCATCTCGAGGACGAGCTGTCAGCACAGTCCCCTGGGTATGTCTCCCTTGGTCTCAGCTCAGAGCGGCTTTGAAGTACCAGCGATTGGAGTTAGCCACTCATCTAGGAAGTAAGCACTCGTTCAATTGGATATCCTCCTAGTTTCGTTCCACACATAGTCTTACGCCGGCTACTCAATGTATGCAATAACGCATGCTAAGTTCGCTTGCCTATATCGGGTGCGTTCGCCCAGGACAGTCTGCTCGTTGGGTAACAGCCAAGCGACCGAAAGGTTCCGCGTACTGCATCAACTGCATGTTCGAACTCTTCGCGGAGAGCACGGACTCTGCCCACGCGAGGAATCCTGCCGATATTATCTTCTGTCGATGGTATACAGTTGTGACACGAGCATGCACCGGCCTACAAGGTAGAGGTAAGAGTGCTCTGGTGTGATGTTCTATATCGGTTAGGATACCGCTTCCCCGCGAGATTTGCTGTGCTGTTGGCATGATATAGCCTCTCGGAACGAACCTTCTTCATGTGCCAGGTCATCGTTGGATGCTGAATAGGTGTATTCTTCACTGACAGTAGATGAATCACTCTACTAACGCAATATCCATGATGCCGATCAACTAATAATTGCGAACTAGAAGGGTACACGCTGTTCTCCGGGTAATAAGGGGCGTCCACTCAACGAGTGTGCTGATGACTCGTGTCCACATGGGCTCATGACTTTGGGTTTCAAATTTGTAGCAATCAGTGTGTTTCGATGATGTGGGGGTACAACGGGGAAGCGGCTAGTGATTGCGAAGCGAGCGGGGAAAGAAGCAGGCTTACAGCGGATAGGAGAGCTTCGTGATCGTGAACGACGGTTCAACATGGTACTGGCACCATATCAAGAGTGCATCGCAATAGGGAAGTTCACTCCCGCATCCGCGTGTTGTAACCATAAACCACATCCTGCAGCTTCGAGCGAGATCCAGCTATTTGTATTGGCTGGCGGGCGATTTGTGTGTATCAAGATCCATCCTACCCATGCGAGACCTGCAAGCAGCTGTAGCAAGACTGCTTACTCAAGTACTAAGTATCAGTCGGGGAAACGGATACCGCGAGGGTGTGCTAAATCATACATGATTAGCTTGGCATATCCCAACGCACTGGTGATTTGACTGACAAAATGAGTGGATGTCCGCAAGCGCTGATACCTGAAGATGTATCCTGCATATCAAGGCAGTTGTTTATTGGCTTGAGGGACGTTTCGAGTAGTGGAGACGACCGTGCGTGAAGCTGCATCTGACATTTGCTCGACTTCCGTCAGGACGATAGATGTTGTTTCTTCTCGACTATATTTCAAGCAGGAGATTATGATTAGAAGCATGGAGTATTTTTGAAGGAAGGAATTCGATTATATCAACATTTGCTATTCAAATCAGCTTGCGTCAAACAAACGGGAGATGACATCAACGCAGATAGCGCATGTTGAGGTAGCCTTTTACTGGGGTCTAGGTCCAAGTTCCGGGCTCGTGGAACGGAATTCAAGAACAGGCTCTACTGCGGGTGCGGTTTGCCTCTGTGCGGCCCATGGTCGTATCACAAACTGACTCATGCTCACATAGCTGCAGCACCACACCTATACCTCTTTGTTACGTATGAGAAGGATGCATGTTTCTGCCAGCCTAATGTAATGTGATAACAAAAGAATTGTGACCACAAAACTGTACGCGCGCGCCGAGCCGAACACCTGGGCAGAGGTCTCCAGTGTGGCAAGCAATCTATCGGCTTGAGAGGGCTTGCGTTTTTTGTGTGTGACGAGACTCCGACAGGGACTCTTCTAGTGCATGAGATTGCTCAAAGAAGACTGCGGCTAGAGGGACGCGAAGAAGAAGCGTATAGCAACCCCGGTGACGTTGGTTGGTGGCGTATAAAGGGTCGTTACATTCTCCTTCGAAGTGCAAACCCCAGATTTCCCCAGATTTTCTCCGCAGTGTTCTCAAACTCCGTACACCAAAAGCTTGTTCAAGTTTCAGCTGAAGCCTGTGTCCAAAATCGCCAGATATCGAGTACGAGACACGTACACGTGGTTTGGATGTAAGTTCGCCATGTTCCACCACGGCCAGCAAGCTGACAATGACCCGTAGCTCGCGAACACAGGATCGGACAGAAAGTCATACCAGAAACGCCTTTGAGATGTGCTATTACGAAAAGATCAAGTTTCCTTGTGGCCACAACGAGCATCGGCTCATGCAGCACTGCCACTTCGCGCGCAACGATCCTGGCCATCAATGTTTTGGCGCTTGGAACATTAGAAGAGAGTGGGATCAACAAGAAACGAACTGCACCAATTGCGTCAGACAGAGCCAATACAATTCAGCAGTGCATGCGATTCCGTCAGCGTATACCTTTGCTGGCGGAAGATAAATGGTTCTCTGGATGCAATACCAGCCATAGCTACCTGTTGTAGACCAGTGGTCTTTTCTCGGCTCGGAGAAGTCGATGCACCCAAAAACTGTACAGATTCGGAGCGGACATCAAGAGGGGAGGCTGTCATCATACTTGTCGGGTTTTTGTGATTGTTTGCACGCCTGGGCGGTCTTTTCATTGCTTTTGCAGCGAGTTCTAACGCTTGTAATGTCCTGAGCGCGGCATATCTGGGCACCCTCTTCCGTGGCTGCAGTGTTCACTGTACACTATTAGTATTGCACCTACACACCACCTAATATATGGTAAATCGACATATAGCCTCATGTGAACGGCGAGTGATCTTCGATGGGCAGCTGCGTCGTGGTGCTCGATACAGTAGACAGCTCTTCCGAGAGGCGCATTCAGGCCGACATCAGAACCTGCGATCATCAGCTCATATATGTGGTGACTGATCACGGCGCGCGTAGCGTCGCAGAGTGGTCGGTCATGGCGTGTGCAATGAGGAAGTTCGTGACGACCTCGGGAAATGAGGCTCGTGCGGCTAACCTAGCACGGCATAGGCGTTGAGCCCCACCTGCCACCGGCAGACAGGCCAGCATTGTGACTTCCCATCCGACATTCTGCATCATTTACACCGATATCTAGATCTCTACCATGTCAGACTCTACAGAGCAGCCGAAGAAGGAGAAGTTTGCGCCAAAACAACCCGTCGCACTGAACCCGCCGAAGGATGATGTCATTGAACGCGAATACCTTGCGAAGTGTGATGGTACGGCTTCGCAACGACTGGCTGGTGTTTGAGTGGCCAGGCACTGACCATCAGCAGGCACAAACGAGGGTCTACCCACTCTTGTCGCAATCAAGGTAACTATAGCTGCTTTTCCTCCATGTTGATCTCGTGCGCGCGCAGAAAAGGTTGACCATCATTAGGGTGACGTGTTCGATGTGAGCGGCAAGGAGACGTACGCGCCTGGGAAGGGCTATCACGGTTTGTCGCCCGAGATGCATCGTCAAGTCGTACCACAAACGACTAACTTATCGTCCCAGTGTTTGCCGGGAAAGAGCCCAACCGTGCCCTCGGCCTGTCTTCTCTCAAGCCCGAAGATTGCATATCGGACTACTCCGGACTTTCCGACAAAGAAAAACAGGTTCTCAATGATTGGCATACATTCTTCAGCAAGCGTTACAACATAGTCGGACGTTTGCCTCCTGACGGTGCCAATCTCTAGACGGCCCATGTCTCCAATCGTCGACTAGCACACGCCCTACCATTGGTTCGTGTAATGTAGCAGTTCAAAGCAACTAGGTTCTACTGAGTCAACTAAAAGGTGCTTTAAGTGTCACATGCGCTGCACTAAGAACGTGGAGAAGCAAATTGATGAGACCACAAAGCTTAGAAGCACACCGGATGCGCTACAATTAATCTGCGTCCGAGGAAGTGTACGGATTATAGTCGTACGATGATATCAAATCATGCTCAAGCTCTTTGATGGTATGGACTTACCGTGTTGCGCATGATGAGGTACAATAAGTGGTAGGGTGCCTGCTAGCCTGTCCAGATCCCCAACGAAACGACACAGCCAGCGATCGCTCTGCCTATGAACCTACCCAACTTCTACCCGTACAATTCCCATAGAAGTAGCACAGTTCCGCCGCTAAGATGGTGACTTCACCATCAAAGCAATGAGAGAGTGCACGACCTCTGCAGCGGCCAATACGGTGGTTTCGCCCGGGTTATCGTAAATGGGAGCCACTTCCACTATGACGAGTACATTCAGTCAAATTCTAGTGCTCTTACTGATGAGTCAAGGGGGTTTGGAAGATACGTACCAACATCTGCCCCGACGACGTCTAGTCCTTCGAGACCATCTAAAATGGACAAAAGCTCTCGTGTGCTCCATCCACCGACTTCGGCTGTTCCCGTAGCTATTCGTATGTGTCAATCACAATGTTACAAAGTGTTTCAGCAGTGGAAGTTAAAGCTGCTACATCGGAGATGATTGTCCTTGATCGTCCTTGATCGTCCTTGATATGTTTTGTGTGATGACTTACCAGGTGCGAATGCCGGATCGAGTACGTCTATATCGACGCTGATGTAGACCTTCGTTCCAGAGACGCGAGATTTCAGCTTGTCGATGATACCAGCTACACCCAATCGATCGATTGCCCTAGCCTTGACCATCTCAAAACCACATCGAAGGTCGTTCCGCACATCACCTTTCGGTCGCATCACAGGAGCTCGGATGCCCGCGTGTATACTAGTATTTCGGATCAAGCCTTCCTCATGAGCGATGTGCAAGAATGTTCCATGGTTGACACCACTATTGTACTGTTTCAGCGATATCCAAGGTGCGTTCTGATAGTTAGACTCACGCATAATGGGAGATACCTCCGCCTGTACTATGTCAGTCCTTGATCGGATCCGTGAATACTTCGGCTTACCTAGTACCTCTGGGTCCCATGTGTCTACGCAGCAGTCAGCGAAGCTCAACAAGGGGTGCCGCGAGCTTACCGATGTGACTGTCAAAGTGTATTACGCTCACTGGCCCCCAGTGACGATGAGTCGATCGAAGGGCCGATAACGTTGTAGTATGATCGCCACCTAGCGTCACAATCTTTGGTGTCGTGCGCTCGCTTGAGTTGGTCGCTCTTGAGGACACGATCTTGGCGATGGTTGTCAGACATTTGAACCAGTCATTCCGTGCGTTCACAAACCTTGTGCGTCTTATCAAGCTGCTTCAAGGCCGCAGTGTTATCCTTCCAGATACGTTAGCTATGGTCCTCCTTGGTCGTTCCATCAATGTTTTACCAAAAACGTTAAGGGAGCATCGCCGCAGTCGATAACTTTTGCCCAATCCACGAAGACGTTTTCGCCTAAGCCCAGTCAGTCAGTACATTGCGATGTCGCTTCATCACAACCATTAGAGCCTCTCGATGCAATGCTGGCTTCATGCAGGAGCGAACGGAGCAGTATCATCAAGATAGCAAGAAGCTGCAACCAAGATCAGAGTACACAGGACAAATTCCAGCGCACCCATGGACGCCTCGAGAACACAACTTGCCAAGATGACGTGGTGTAACAAGTGCCGTTCCTTGTTGCTTCGTTTTGAACAACGTACCAAGTCTGCGCTTGCGGGATGAACGCCCATACGCGCATCCTCATCGTAATACAACATACCTGTGTATATTGACCAAGCAGCGTCTGGCGATATCCGGCTTGAGCCCTGCCGAATGCCACCCGGACCGAAGCGCGCTCCAGGCCGTGCCGTGACTCCCTGCCGGTTGTTAAACTTGGCCCTTGCGATGCACCCAACTCCGATGCGCAGTCTCGCGCACACAATGTACATGACCTACAGTGTCAAACGGCGCACCAAGAATTGCGATGTCGAATGGCTCCACATCTTGGCCTTCTGGTGCTAAACAGTGCACATATGGCAGATTGGCGTATGTCATCAACCCTGCAAACTTTCCTTGGGTGATGTCCATTTCAAGGTTGCCATGAGCGATAATCTGCTGCGACGAATAACCAGAAATTGGTGGAAAAGTAACATCGCGAGCGCTTGCGAGGAGCTTGAAAGAGGATGCCAGAAACAACAACGATTTAGGTGCCATCATGAACAGGACAGATCGGAAAACAAGGAGGAAGCGAGCAAAGCTGTCTGATTTACCAACGTACATAAGTATTGTGCTTATCTCCATTGCGAGCCGGTGATGATGCGAACCGTCGCCTTAAGCCTCAAATGGCAGGTGCAGCCGATCGTGCCCCTCGATCCGCCTGCAACGGCTGCTAGTCTACTACCACTTCCAGAAAACGCAGACGGCCCATCAGACCTCGCTCGCGGAACTCTTCTTTTCCAAGGAAGTCACTCAAAGACTTCCAGTCTGTCTTCGTTCTCGGTGCCGTCTCTAGGACCAATGAAGATGATGTCATGCAAGCATTGCCTCCAACTCCTCCGTAGAGGATCGCTCCCCATCTGCTCGTGGTCGGGTATCTCTTCCAGGCGCCACCAGTACTGGACCTTCTTCAACAGGTCCCTCTCAACCCCTTCTTCCCACAGGTTGACGCGCATTCCAATCCATTCTTCCCGAATAGCTTTAGACTTCAGCTGTTTCACGGTGTACCCTACGGGCGCAACGATGTCGTCTGAGCCGAATTCGAATTCGGATTGGTGCAAAGTACGAATGGTGTAGACACTTCTGCTCTTCGGTAACTTCGTTGTCCTTGGCCCTGACCCTGTCATGTGGTCACCGGAAAGGTCCGAGATAACAGCCGGAGACGATGCAGGTGCGTATACTGGTATGTTTCCCTGTTGTGCGTCTTGAAGATACTGTGCAATCCCATCACGACTCGTTGCCGCATAGGAAGGTGTTGATCGGCATATCTGCATGCAGTTTGGAGAGAAGAAAAGGCTTTTGCGCTCGATTTCTTCGGTGTGCCGGTACACATGGTAGTAATGCTTGATCTGAGCGACTGTGTCTACGGTGGACGGCTCGTAGTTTGCCATTATCAACGTGTGATTACTTTTCTAGAGGTCATATGCTCTTCTTATGAGCCATCGGACAACCTCAGATAATTTTAATCGTTACTGTGTTGCGTAGCGTCATGCACGAAGAGGTTGCCTCGATCGGCAAGGCCAAAGCTGACATCGTCTAAGCGCAAATTGCTCTGCACACCGATTGGTGAGTTTGACGTCTATGAATGTCATGCTGAGATGTTGAGGAGATGAATCATCATATTTGTACTTAATGCACATGCTTTCGTTGGCTAGGTCCAAACCATAAGTACAGTCCAATGTTTAAAGCCAGTAACTAGCTGATTATAGCCGTTACTTCACACTCATACAGCAGTTCCTTCTTCGCCAAACTTGCAACACCGACAACTGTGTCAGGTGGTCTATGCCCGCCCGCCTCCCTATCCATATATTCAATCCAGATATCTCCCCAGCCGCGATCTACAACATCCTTTCGATCCTGCTCTGGGTTGCCGGTATCTTTGACGATGTAATGTCGAACATGCACCTGAATTACATCGAAGTTAGTGACATGGCCAGCACTGCCTTGAAAGGTGATTGATCAAGATTCAAAGCATACAATATCTCGTGGTGTCGCTCCAGCGGCGGCCAAGCACTTGTGAATGCTATCGTAGGCACCCTTTGCTTGCTCTTTAATGTCGGAGGGGATGGTATGGTCTTTTTGAAGGCCAGTTTGACCAGCAAGGGTGACCAATTTGGATGTCGGCACTATTGGAGTGATGCAGACTTGGTTGTACGTTGGGGGAGGTTCCGGTACGTTCTCCGGGTTAAAGGCATGAGGCTTATTAGATGACATGATTGAAGTCAAGATAAAATTGGAGCAAGGATACTTGTTGATGTTTTCTATATGTTCTTTACTCGAGTCTTACGATAGTATCTCGGCATGAGGGGCATTTTCGCGTGCACTTGCCGCACCTAGTAGTCAAACATGTGGGCCTCACTGGTGTTGAAGCATGGGCCATGGTGACATCACCGACTTTCGTCACGCGAATCCACTTTCAGCACGCAAACAGGACGCGATAAACCTCACACCACTGCACACAGCCCGGCTAGCTGATTAAACATTACCACATCATTGGGTCGCAGTGGAGTACTTCATTGACGGATGATAATATCCCACCTGCAACCGGGCGAATGAGATGCAGGCCAACACGCGCCTGCCTCCGTACGAATGCGGGGAAAGCTCCAGCGGCGAGAGCGTTAAAGCCGTATGCTTGTGACGGTTCGCGCAACCTCAGCTTACACCCCTTTCTTTGACAGACACTGCTTGTATCATGGCGTCTGGCTGGTTCAACTCATCGTCGAGCGACCCAACGCGTCCTCCGGACGTTCGCGTTCAAGTTGGCGAACAAAAACCTCACGACTTCTACCTGCAGCCTGGCTCGGGGAGCAGTTCAAGATCCGCCACCAACCGCTCAGCAGCCTCAGTGCCTGCGGCTTATGTGGATACGACTCATTCCAAGGTCCATGTTCACAATGCTTCACTTTTCGATGTAGGCATCCTGAAAGACACACTTATCCCTTCACTCACCCTGCATTCTGGCTTGGCTATCATTGCGTACGGAGCTGCACGATACACAAACCGCGTTGAAGCCAAGGACTGGCTCTGGCCCAGTGGTCAGGTTGTGAACGCCTGGTGGTCTGCCGTTGGACGCCGTCTCGCTCAAGGCTACACCGTTTCGCAGGCATTCAGTCGTCTGTCATGGCACGAGCGTGTTATTTTGACGGGTGTTACACTATGGGGAGGACGTCTCTTCTACCGCATCGTCAACCGTTCGATTCAACGAGGTGATGACGACCCACGATATGCCGAAGTCAAGAAGGAGGAGGGCTTCTGGAACAGCGCTTTATTCAAAGTCTTCATACCCGAGGCTTTCTTTCAGATGCTCATCAGCCTCCCATTCACCGCGCCGTTCCGACACGAGGGTGCCGTCATGACAGGCTACCATCCCTTTGTCCAGATGTTTGCTGTCGGACTCTTCTCTTCAGGTTTGGCCATGGAGACACTTGCAGACTACCAGCTGGACCAATTCAAGGCCGAAGGCAATAAGGGCATCATGCGCGAAGGAGTATGGAGCATCGTCCGCAACCCCAAGTATGTATCCCTGTTCCACATTTCATGTCACTCGCTAACGTCGTGTAGCTACCTTGGCGACGCCCTCGTACACATCTCCTTCATCGTCATGCTTTACGGCTCAGACATGCTCGCTCCTATCGAACTCCTAGGCCCTGCCGCAAATTACGCCTTCCTCCGCTTCTTTGGGGGCGACGCCGAAAAAGAGAAACACCAAGAGCGCCGATACTCCGCATCTCACCCCGAGAAGTTCCGCGAATTGGAGAAATTCAGAGCGGATAAGAATGCTTTCTGGCCGAGCGTCGATGAGCTAAGTAACAAATGGTTGTGGACTGTTTTAGGTGTTGGGGGCCTGGGTATCGCCGTTGAGCAAACGCTTCGGGCGCTGCACTAGGTCTTGCCCTCTAAGGTTAATAATGTTTGCTCACAAAGCCACCCCATTTAAGGGCAAAATTGGACACCTATCTCTGCGAAGGACTGCTGTCTAAAAAAAAGAGCTAAGAAGGCTACATTGCCTGAACAATCTACAAACTCAAGATGTTAAGGCAAGGTAGAATTCGGGGCACCTGTCCAGTTTTTCCCTTGAATGGGGTGAAGCTGTCTATGCATTAGGCGCTTAGCGTTTCTGATTAAGGTTGTACGATATAGTTAGCTGGTTTAGTTCGGTTTCTTTACTGATATTTCAACTTGGTAGTCCCTACGCACGTTAGCATCAATGGCCCATCTCACAAACATTGTGATATTTTGCCAACAAATCTGTCGTTCCGTGACAAATGCATAAACAAGTTCGGGGTTTGCCCATCACAACGAGTATCTGATTTACCAAACAACATAAGCAAATCCACAAACCTGAGAGTAGTCTTAGTGGTACAGCTACCATTTTGTGTCTTCTTGTTATAACACTTGCGTCCATGTCCTATCATCACCGTTTGAGCTTTGCTACGCATCGACCGTAAGCGATGAACGAAATAGATCTCATAGGAGTCATCTTCGTAGCCATATTCGTTCCCCTGATCATAGCAATTGACACTCTCTGTCTTCGTTGACACTGCCATCTTCAACGCGGAGGAAAGGGTCGAAGGCAAACACGGCCATATACAGTGGATACGGACTTGTCTGGCTACACACTCCCGCCATTCGATCCAGCATATTACGATCCATGGTTCGAAAAGCCGTTTAAGAGTACATGCTACCAACACAAGATACGTACCTTCTAGGAGGCAAACAAAGGAACATAATATGCTGAGTGAGATGTACGATGGATTGGATATCACACCCGAGATGGCTAGACTGCGGAAGTGGGAGTGGATGGATGAGGGCTCATTGGACCTACCTAGATCGGCGTTTGACGGCTTGGATCTTACGCGTGAGCACATTGGAGGGCTGCGGGAAAGGGAGATGATGGCTCAAGCGAGCAGACCGAGGAGACCGAGGAGATCTTTTACTTTGTAGTCAGGATGGTATATGGCTTATGTGCAAGGCTTGCGACGCACTGGGTCGAACGGATGAAGTTACAAACCCTAATAGAGTGTGTTTCCAGAGGCGATGGTAACGGTCGAAAGCCTATCAAGGCCGGTTTGAGCTCTCGATGCGTTGTCAGTAAACGTTCATTGCAATCAGTGTAGCCATAGCTTGTCTAATATGGCCGTATTGAGGGCGCGCAGATACAATCTCACTGCATTTGCTTTGGGCTCTCCACCTTGTCTCATCTTATTTTCAAGTGTCAGGGTGCAAATCATCGATTTAGTCATGACCGAGAGAGACAGAGCAGGTATCATCTTCATGGCCGCATTTTTCTCATGCCTTGTCATTGGAATAGTGATGTGGTGCTGCTGTCACCATAGATCTTGACCATCTCGACCATCTCGACCATCTCGACCATCTCGACCACATCCGCGTTCCTATGGTTATACCTGGCCTGGACCGGGCGGCGGAGGATATCATGCGCCGTTCCATCCACAACCAATGATACCATTGTTAATCCCTATGCATGCTCATACCACTCATGCTCATCCGCCGCCAGCGCCTCAGTCACAGACCCACTCAATCACCTTTGCCGAAGGAGCAGCACGTGAAGCCGGATTACCGACATATGTGCAAGAGCGACTGCTGCCGCAAAACGGTGCTATGAGGCCAACGATATCGAACTCGACTTTGAAGTGGTCCGTAAATGGTCAGCCTTCGACGAATAAAGGAGGGCATAGTACAGATAGGAGACCTCGAACGGTATAAGATTGGCTTGGGGCGGGGCGATTCCCCTGATCAAGGGTGTATAAGCAGACTAGGGATATGCAAAGCAATAGTATGCAACACGTAAAGTACCGAACTTCTGGTGTTTTCTCAACTGCGGTTTAGAGCATGAATGTAAACTTCTTCCTCTCTTTTCTCATACTCCCACCCTCATCCAACGGTATACCGGCATACTCTGCAGTGCGACCACTATTCAGCTTGCGATTCTCTCTTATCAATACCCACCTCAATATTGCCGCGAGAATGCCGACGAGAAGCATGAATCCAGCACATACACTCATGCCTTTGACGTAATAAGGCCCGTCGTCGTCTGGAAAGATGCTCGTGCCAACCAGCGGGCCCATCTGACCAATGATGTTCAGGAGAGCCATGCCAGTTCCCTTCTTACTGTCGCTTTCTTGGTTGTTGAGTGTCCACGTGATGATAATTGTGATAGCACTGAAGAAGCCTGCGGCAGCAGGGTAGAGCGCGATGTAGCGGATGATGGTGTTGTCAGACTGTAGGTATCCGGAGATAGCAATAGTACCGTAACCGATCGTTGCCAGGACAGAGTGGAGCATGATGAACGTCGAGCGTGATTGTAATCGATCCGAGTAATATGCAGTCGTGAGGACGACAACGAAAGCGAAGAGGTATGGTGGAGCTGAAAGTCCTTGGGCCGTGATGGACTCCCAGCCCATATCTCGGATCACGGTCGGTAGGAACACGGGCATGGAACTGAAGGCAACATTACAAGAAAAGAACATGAGCGCTGTCAGGTAAGACTTCGGATCCTTTAGGGTCTGTAGTACTTCGTGGAAATCCACACGTCCTCTTCTTCGTCCACCCTGGTACTTCTCTTCTGGGTCTTCATCTTCGCTCTCCTTTTCTGACCTCAGCCTCATTACTGCAACCTCGCGCTGTCGGGGGCTTAGCCACTTCGCCAGTCCTGGTCCATCTGGTACAAAATCCCATGCCCAGACGGCAATCAACACGGAGGGAAACCCTTCGAGCAGGAAGAGTAGTCTCCAAGGACTAAGCGGGCCATGTTCACCGACTTTGGTGATGACGTAGGCCAGCGCACCGGCAAACGATGCTGAAAGAGGACTGGCGCTGATGAAGAGTCCAGTTCGAAAGGCAAGCTCGGAGCGGCGAAAGAAGAAGGATAAGTAGAAGGGTACGCCGGGTCCGAATGCCGCTTCGCTGATGCCAAGAAGGGCTCGCAGCACAAGGAGGAACCCGAAGGATGTCGCTACTGCCTGGAGTGACGCAACTATGCCCCAAGAAAGGATGCATAGAGATATGTAGATATGCGGCGGCACGATACGATAGCTATCAGAATTAGCGGTGCAGCTTTTGTAACTGGCGACCACCTACAGTAGTGTCATCCATTCGAAAAGAATGTATGTAATGTAGAACGCCCACAGTAACCACTCATACTGGGTGGAGCTGAGCTTCAGGTCGTCTGCCAGACCGGCAATACGCGCATTGCCAATGTCTACCAAATCCATCAGTAAGTGTCGCGGAGCCTACCAGACCTGCTTTGCGCACATCTGACGTACATGTCTCCCTCACGAGTATCTCAGGTGTAGAAAGTACTCACTCGACCGATCCAAGAAGCTCAACATGTACAACAAGGCCATGAACGCGACTAGCCGACGGTCAAGCTTCTTGAGCACTGTGCGATCCTCGTCTGGGGTATACAGTTCGTAGCTCTGCACGGAGTCCAACGAAGCGCGCCTCATACTAGGAAGGAAGCCCTCGTCTTCCTCTCCCAGCTCCTCTTTAGATACGGGTTCATCTCGTGGAGTAATCGTTCGTAGTTCGAAAGAATTTGGCTCGTGTATCATGGAGAGGCCATCGGAGGAACGTGAGGAGCGAGGAGAGGGCGTGAACTTGGGAGAGCTTTCGTCCGTGCCGTTGGATGCTGGTTCGTGCTGTGTGCGGCGGGAGGAGGATGGCATGCTTAGGTTTAATTGTCAGGAATGAGCCGCATTGGGGACTAGAAGATTACATCGAGAATAGGAGTAGGTAATCAAGGTACGAGCTCGTCATGGCTGACGAGTCGCGTAGATCGAATTGTCAAAGCTGTCTCCCTCGTGAGATGACGCGTAGAAGCCCGTGCGCTGCCTACCCCACAATCCAGGATACCGGTACCGCTTAACTGTCATGTCCTTCTGCACTTCACTTGATCACTTTGGCATATTGCCCCCGACACTTTGAAGACGGCTTTTCAACTCTACTCTAGCTACATCCATCTGAAGGCGTACTAAGAACGCATTGCGTATTACCAATCCCCTAGAAGCGATCTTGAAGTATGGGCATACTGTTTGCAGAACCACTCAATCGAAGCTGCTAGGGTCGGCCTCGTTATGCAGAAGGAAGCGTCCGTCCGACAATTCTTTTACATTGTAGTATCCCCGCAAAAGCGCCTCCTCCATACCGATCCCTTCGATCTTCATCCCCAACGTACGCAGTGGTTGTCTCAATGGCGGACCCCCGTAACGGTACAGTCCATTGACCTCCAAGGGGACGCCCGCTCCAGGAAGGTCATCCCAGTGATACATCTCTTTGGCGACTTTGATACACGCCTCCCGTTTCTCTGCGCTCCATCATGAAGGTAGAGTCCCTGCGATCTTCTCGGCGTTAGCGATATGCTCCAGGAGTCCTTGGAAGAGGTAACCTGTATTGTACTTGACACTGCCGTTCCTGTAAGAGTCGCGCGGGTCTACCATCGCACCGAGGGCACCGCGCTTTACTTCATACCAAGCACGGAAGCTCTCAATCAGAGGCTTGTAGGTTGTTGGCTCGTCTTTGTTCAGGAGGAGCTCGTCGAGTCACGTAGCTTTCTGCCCATAACCCCTTACTGCCGCATATTTATTGAGCCTATCGCTACCAGATTCGTGAAGTCCTCCGGGTACGCAGCTGAGGTGAGTGTTGTGCGGGTAGATGCGCGCGGGTAGATGCGCGCGGGCATTTGTTGTTCAGGCCAGTTCTCGTCCATATGATGACGGGGTTTGTTGCACCCCTCCTTGTGCATGCCTTTCCAGTGCGCTTTCTGACAGGCTCGAGAACAGTAACGGAGCTTTTTGCAGCTGCCGCAGCACTTGAGAGGGCTGATGGGATCTTCGACTTCATTGCACTTCGAGCATCGGAAAGGGCCTACGGAGAGTCAGTAAAATGACAAGATCGGGAAACAGCACCATCTCACCTAGGGCAGCCATGGTATCGTTCTGCAACTGGACCTCTTGTCTCGCCTATTCGAGCAAGCAAAGATGGTGGTGTGGCGAAGCTTAGGCGGGTGATGGATGGACGTATTTATATGTCCAGTGAGGATGAGAAGATTTGAGACAATGCCTGTGTCCGTAACCTATCAGGAAACGTGCAGATAATGTCAAGGTAGCAAACACCATACAAACACGCCTGCAGGTGACGCAATTTCTACACCTTTGCTGGAAGAGTGCTTTAGACAGAGTCATAGATGCGCTCTTTTGATGGCCCACTGTAATATTGAGGCTAGGACGGGAAGGCGCGCTCTGACCTTTTGTTGCAAATGGTGAAAGTCGGAAAGGTCAGGATCAGACAAGCGTTACCCAACCAACAATCGTTGCGGGTAAGAAAGAAAGTCACCAAAAAACTATATGCGAGACAAAAAGGTTAAAGTGGTCGCGAAAAAAGTGCATTCGTCGATCGACACGGATGTCGGTACTGGCCCATTGGTCCATGTCTGTCTATTTGGGCAATTGCCAGTCCTTGTAGCTCCACTTCTCCGACAAGTGGTATTTCTTCTGCTTGGCGTACGGAATCTGTCTTCTTGCTTCCACCTTGCCTTGAAGCATAAAGGTCCTGAAGCGATCCTTGAGCAGATTGCCCTCGGGCTTGAGAAGACGGAGAGAGTCGCGGAGCTCGTCTGGCAGGACGACTTCGAGCGGGGCCTCAGGTAGACTGTGATTTGTTAGTAGATGATCAATTTGTGAAATGTGGATAGGTACTTACGGTGCCTTGCCGAATTGCTTCTTCCTCAGCTCCAATTCTTCGCCATCGTCCTCCTCGTCCGCTAACTCTGCATTCCTCTGTTCAAGAGCTTGTTGCACAGCAGCTCTCGCCTTCTCCTTCTCCTCTACGCTCTTTGCTAATCTCTTGATCTCTTGGACCTGTTGCTCCTTGGCCTTCATCTTTGCTTCGTGGACCGCCTTTCTTTGCGCCTCCTTTCTCCTCTTGATCTTGTTCCGTTGTGACAGTGACTTCCTCTCTGGCCTCTTCTTCTTGGCTTGCTTATCTTCGTTGTCACTGAAGCCTTCCCACTCGCTCTCCCACACGCTCTCCTCGCCAGAGTCGGATTCCGTCTCAGCGGCCGCTCTCTCCATACGCTCGGCTTCTTCGCGGGCCTCTTGTAGGCGCTTCTTCTCAACTTCGACAATCTTGTCGGATTCGCGCATGAGCTCATTTTGCCAGTCTTCCAGCAGGGGGTTGTACGACTTTCCACCGGTAGGTTTGCGGACCGAGGGGATGGCCTTGCCGGTCTTTGCCTGCGAGATAGGTGCGTGCTTGAGGGTTTTCGGCTCGACCTTGGGCTTCTTCTTTTCTAGGTATGAGAAACGAGGGTCCTCTTTGACCTCTTGAACGGCCCATGGGTCATAGGCGGCATCGCCAGTCTGTACGACGTCCTTCTTGGTCTGCTCGCCTCCGTATGCAATCGCCCTCAACCTGTCGTACTCTTTGCCTGATACCTTTGCCTTCTTCCTCTTGCCATCGTCGGTGATTTCCGAGAGTCGCTTCCGGGTGGACACGGCGGGAACGGCAGAGCGCTTAGCGAGGATCTCGTCGACCTTGAGAGGCTTGTGTCGTTTGGCGACCTCTTTTTGGATCTCTGCAGATCCAAGGACATCGACGGCGAAAAGCTCGTCTGCGGTCTTTTCAGAGATGACACCACTGTAGAGGCGTCAGTATATGCATCGACTGTGTGTCGCAATTGGAACCTGCCCTTGAATGATCTGACCGCGCACATCCTCCAGGCCTGATTGAATCTCTGTGACATCGACGTTTTTGCGCCAAGCCTTCTTGCCTTTGCGGCTGGACTGCTTGTATTGCGCTGGCGCTGCTTCGGTGTCCGCCATGGTGTCTTATGGTTGCCGTGCTTGAAGTAGTTGTGGGGTTGCTGGTTGTCGCAAAAAGTTCGACCCAAAATTCCGACCAGCAAAGCGGCGCACGGGCTGGATCCACCCGGACCCCTGCTGCGCTCGGTAGTCGGTGTTGGCCGCCAGGGTGCCAGGCCTCCAGATTCGACCGACACTCCTATTCAAACACGACACCCCACCAAGACACACGGCCGGAATATTGCTTCTGATCCTCTGCGATAACACATTTCGAGACTTCTGATTTTCTCAAAATCTCCATCCTTCAGTCACAATGGCGCAGTCGGGCTACTCAAACCCGCTCAAGAAGTTCAAGTGAGCTGTCCTCCGCGGCGGAGACCAACTTCGTATACTAACCGGCTGTAGGCTCGTATTCCTGGGCGAACAAAGTGGTATGCATACTATCGCAGATATAGCAGTTTGCGACATGCGTGCTAATCTACGTTCGCAGTGGGCAAGACGTCTCTAATTACCCGCTTCATGTACGACTCGTTCGACAACACCTACCAAGCCACGATCGGCATCGACTTTCTAAGCAAGGTATGCTCACCGCAAAGCCGCCATAGATAGGGCAGTCCAGTTCAACATCTAACCTTCGTCCGCAGACCATGTACCTCGAAGATCGGACCGTCCGCCTGCAGCTCTGGGATACCGCCGGCCAGGAACGATTTCGCTCCCTGATTCCCTCGTACATTCGCGATTCTAGCGTAGCCGTGGTTGTATACGACATCACAAACAAGAAGACGTTTGAAAACACAAGAAAATGGGTAGACGATGTCAGAGGCGAGCGCGGCAACGATGTCATTATTGTGCTCGTGGGCAACAAGACCGACTTGAACGACAAGCGCGAGGTTACAACGGCCCAGGGTGAAGAGGAAGCCAAGAAGAACAACTTGATGTTTATCGAGACGAGCGCGAAGGTCGGACACAACGTAAAGGCACTGTTCAAGAGAATTGCGCAGGCGTTACCGGGCATGGAGGGCGAAGGCCAACAAGGGCAGAGTCAGAGTACGTCTCGTTGTACACATTGTTGCGGTGAACGCCACACTAATCTAAGATCCAGTGATCGACGTGAACATCAACCCCAGCCAGCCACCGCAAGAAAACTCGTGCTCATGTTAAACAAGACAAAGCCGTTTGGCAATCAACTTCGGTTCATTCGCTTGAGGGCGTACTGTAATTATTTGGGATGATGTTTTGCAAGTCTGAGAAAGTCATTGTCAGCAAGGCGTTCGGGCATGGGCCGCATGCATCTTAACGTCGGAAACGTAATCTGTAGTATACCAGTGCGTACCCATGCGTACCACTGCATGACGTCAATGGAGAGATGCCGAGTGCTGTTTGGATTGTATGCATTGGAAGCCCGCATCTATCCCAACGCCGCCCCAGCCAGATGAATCATGCTCAACCAGAACGCCGGCCGTAGAATTGACCGACTGCGCCGATGCTGATCCATATACAAGAATATTACAGGGGCCGTCATCAGATGGAGCGGGGTCCAAGAATGCTTGCTGAATTTATCGAAGTACTATCGTCGAAGTGTTTACTCGAGGTCGCCTGCCGAACCGGCCTCAGACGGCGTCTTGCTGCCGCCGACGGGGATTGACGTGTCAACTGCGATCATCTCGGCGAGGATGTCGAGGACGGGCTGTCGGGTGTTAGCGGGCCATGACCAATTCATAGCGAAGAGCAACAACGCACCTTGGGAACGGTCTTGTCGTAGATGTTGATCAATTCCCGCGGGTTAGGGTAGACCTTCAATGCGCGGTAGAAGCATAGCGCCGCCTCGACGTTATCCGCACCTGGCAAACAATTAGCACCACGTCCCACCAAAAGGTTCAAACTGGAGCCATACCCTTCTGCACCATTCCTTCTCCCTGCGCAACCTCCTGCATAAAGTATGCCTCCACCTCCTCGGGGTCCTTGGGGAAGCCCTCCTCGTTTGCCCGCTCTACCGCCTCTCGGATCGCCTTCTTCTGCTCGGCGCCCTGTGCCTCGGCCTCCTCCTTGGCCGCCCGCTCTGTTCGCTTCGACTCCTTCTTCAGCTGCTTGCGGAAGCCGGGGTCATTTCGTCGCTTGTAGTCGAAGTAGGCGGCGTATGCGAGAAGGCCTGTGACGATGGTGCCGGCGCTAATGGCCGCAATGGTCGATGGTTTTAACGACGAGTTGGACATGATGGTGGTGCGATTCGTGGGAGTGAAAAGCGCAATCAGGCGAGGAAGGAGCAGTTAGAGCCCTTGGAATTGGCGGCAGGTGATGGCGGTGATGTGGTGTGGTGTTTAACTTTTTCTCAGAGTTCAGGGAAGGCACGATTCACCAAAGTGGGCCCGAGCTCACACTCGAGACCGCGGCTCCACGCATGACGGGGCTCTCTGAGTACCTGTCAACATCAACGGACGCGGACTCATGGCTCAGCTGCCTTCGCTACCACTGACCACAACTCCACTCCCGCCCCATTCAACGCAGGAATTGGACACCTGTTAGCAGTAAATAACCTAGAAGCCTACGTTGCGCTGGGGTTTGGCTAGCTTTCGCTCTCATGCTAATGTAGACTGCAGGGCACCTGTCCAGTTTCATCCTTGTATAAAGTGCTCCGCTCCTACACCACGATAATCGGTGGATCTTGCAGGCAGGATGTCGGAAAAGCAAAAGGGCATCTCTCTCCGCAAGAAGCGGGGGGACAAGAGCAAGAAGAACGCACCGCCGCCCACCATCAGCGCGCCGCGACAGATTAGTGCGCCTATGCCCGCAGGCGTCGCTGCTGCTGCTTCACTCCCAGGCTCCGGGCGCCCTTCGAACGAATCCAGCCGATCGAGAACCAGACAGGATGGCCCTCCATCACAGACAAGACCGCAGCGGCCGGATAAGACGGCGGATCTCGTCAAGAGGAGGTACTCCCAGAAGATCACGACGCTCCCTAGCGACTTCGGAAATGGAGAGCCTATGCCGCAGATGCCACAAATGCCTGTTCAGTACAGAGAAAAGAGTCAGACGAGAGAGGGACGGCCGCCTGGAAGCTCCAATGGGCGGGTCCTGCAAGTCGACCCGCGCGCATTGCGGGACCCCAACCTGGAAGTAGAGCGATGTAAGGCCAACATATGGTGATTTAATCGGTTGCATGCTGACTCGCACAGATGTATCAACCATCCTCGCAGACGCCTCCGAAGCAGACATCAGCCGCTACCAGGACGAGCTGCGCAAGACAAAGCATCGTACATCCCTCGACCTCCAGCACAACGTATACCAAAACCGCACACAATTTATCAAGATTAGTAAAGAAGCAGAGAAGCTCAAGGGCGAGATGCGTACGCTTCGCCAGTTGATGTCTGACCTGACAACCACCTTGGAGCAAACAGCATCAGCTACGGGTGCGGCCAATGACACCGCGAGCTCGCGAAGAGCTAACCGAAGTTCGATCGGAGATCTCAATCAATTGCGCGCAGGCCAGCTACAGCAGCTGTACAGGGACGTTGAGGGTTCGCAGAAGTATCTACCACCTATACCCGGACGATATATTGTATGGAAGTCAACCAGATGGTTCGAGCTGGATTCTGCAACCCTCAAGGCAAGACGAAGAGTGAGACTACTGCTACTGAATGACCATCTCCTTATCGCATCCGAAAAAAAGGCACGCAACGATGTTCCTGGACAGCGTGATGGCAACAGAGCGAATATGGAGTTTACGGCCCAGCGATGCTTTCCTCTACAAGATACCCAAGTGATTAGGACTCCAGAAGAGCGCATCATCATACGCGCTGGCTCTGAATCTTTCACGTATGACACCAAGAAGGAAGACAGTGGTGATAAGTCTGCTTTCGTTGCTACCTTCCGCAAGACCAAGGATGACCTGCGCAAGAGCCAAGAAGCGGATGTGCAGGAGAAAGACCGAACGCAAGACTCCTACAGCCACCTTCTTTCGCGCGACCCTGCTTTCATGAACAGGACAGAGTTGTTGGACAATCTCTCAGACGGCATCAACAACGAACAAGTCAGTACTTTTGTTGACATTGACGGACAACAGCGCAATATCCGGTGGGTAGAAAGTCAACTAGACGATCTGGACATCGAGATCGCGCTTCAACATTTCCAGGAAGCAGTCCTGAAAGTGGACCGACTCAAGGCACTTGCAAAGAACATTAGAAGCAATGAGATGGCCAAGACAATCGTCACCTACAAGGTCAACGAGCGCGCTGCGAAGCTTGCGAATGTTCTGGTCAAGCACATGGTAGAGCACAACAACTGGTTCACCTCTGTCAGACAACACGTCAGCTGGGTAGTTCAACTAGGCTTCGAAGACCGCGCACGAGAAGCTTATCTAGAAGCACGCGGTAACCTGATCAGGACTCGCACGCGGTATGTCTTCATTCCATCAAAGTCCACATCACTCACTAACTCTTCCAGGCAATGCATATTCGAAGGCAATCTCCCAGACTACATCTTCCAGATCTCCTACATCTATTTCACCATCATCAAGAACACCGTCGACATGTATCAGAAGTGCTTCCCACAACAGCTCATGTCCGCGTGCGTCAAGTGGTCGAAAGAGCACATTGACCAGTTCAACATATTATTAAAAAGGCAGCTAAGTAGCGTGGATGAAGGTGGCAATGTGTGGAACGAGTGCTTGAGATTGGCACATGAACACGCAGAGATGCTAAGGGAGGTTGGATTGGATTTCACCGAGTTGGTCGGGAATGGAATTAGTGAGCAGGACGGCGAAGAAGAACAACCAGTAGGGTTGGGGGTTTCATAAGCGTTGGGAGTGCATTCGACAATGAAGTGCTACGCCTCGCAAACTTTCTCAATATGCTGTCGGCGTCTAGCCTCCATCGTCGCAGCAGCGTGGGCCTTCCTTTGTCAACCCCCGCCGCTACTACCTCATCCATAGCCGCCTACCATTCTTACTAAGACTCTCTCAGACTTCTCCTCACTACTAATATCTCTACGTTGGCTTAAAAACAGCGTTAAGTGTGTTAGCGTGTTGCTTGTTGTCGTTGCCTTGTGAGATCTCGCCTTCACCAAGGGAATGAGGGTCTATAGCTGACTACAATCGTCGGTTGCGTCTCTCACTCCTACATCCAACAATTTGACTTGACATTACGACAACGACGCTCCAACTTGCACAAAACCTGCCAATAGTTTACCCACATCAAGAACCTGTTCGACAACTACTTCCAAGATGCCTTCGGAAGCAGAGAACATCAATTATTTATACTTGGTCCTAACCAACGATGGCAGTCCTGTCGTAAGTCTCGTCGTCTCCGTCTTCGATTCGCATCTTCATACAAAGTTGCGCATACTAACCCACTATAGATCGATTGGGATGCCGTCTCCGCAGCGCTCGAGCTCAACAAAGGCGCAGTGACAAAGCGATGGTCGCGTCTCAAGCAGTCCATGGATAGGAACGAAGTCCCCGGAGGTACAGCATATCAGTTCCTTTGGCTTTGTGTGAAGCACCACAAGCGAACTCAGGTAAGCACCACCTCACGTCCAGCTCCATAGTTCGAGATTTTAGCGGCCACTAACAGATAGTCTCATAGCCCCCGAACTGGAGCGATATCGCAGCTAAGGCCAATACTACTTCTGGAGCTGCATCCAAGCGCTACTCCCGCATGAAGAAGGTATTCGAGGACAACGACACCGTTCCCAATGCGGGCACTCCTCGCTCGTCTGTCAAGAACACACGCGCGAAGGCCAAGGCTACTCCGAAGTCCCCCGTCAAGAAGCCTCGCAAGGTCACCACTTCCTCCAGCGACGACCAGGACGACGTTCAGACTACTCCGGTTAGTAAGCGCAAGCGTGCCTTGCCGAAAAAGAAGGTTGCCGCAACCGATGAGGAAGCCGAGATGAAGCATGAACCAGACGACGAGGGCAAAGACGAGGACGATGATCTCCTAGATACCAAGCCCAAGCGCGCAAAGGTCGGCAAGAGCAAGATCAAGGTCATCCCCAAGCCCAAGCCCAAGGATATCGTCAAAAAGGAGGATGCCGACGGCGACGGCGAGGAATCTTTCGTCGACGCCCAGGAATCGCTTGACTACCAGGAAGATGCTCAGGAAGTCCACCACGACAGCTACGCCGTTCATGACCGTAAGTTGTCCTACCCTGCAACTCCCCAACATCCCCATCAGCATACTAAAGATCTACTAGCGGAGCCAGCTGACTCTCTTGGTTTCAGCGGTGACTTCATGTAAGCTACATACGCTAGTTGATGTGGATTGTTCCAACGGTTGCGCGCAATGCACCTGCCACGCCAAAGAAATCTCTCACGTACTCATGAGTAGGGACTCTGGGATGGCTCATTCACAGCGCGTAGAGCTTAAGGAGATGGTCGGGAACATGGGTTGAGGGTTCTTTTCATCTTTACCGAGGACTTTGGTGGCACTCTGCGGTATGCATTACATGGAATTTGGCGTCGGACGGAATACGGTGCATAGCGATGGCGTGAACTGCGTTCGAGGGAAAAATGCATTCAATCCTTGTATTTGATATCGGATAGGGCGTTCGAATTCTGGAAGTGCTGAGCTGAGAACATTCTCCCACGCCCTTCATACAGTCAGTTCGTGATGCTTTCTCACGAGCCCCTCAATTACGGTGTCAACACCAGTTTTCCAGTTGTCTTCCTACTCTCGATGTCCTCTGTTGCACGCACAATCTCGCTCAATGGGTATACATCGTGAATCTTGACATTCAGTCCATCCTTCTCGATGAAGTTCCACAGCTCTTTTGCCGCCGTCTGCAGTTCTTCGCGAGTGGCGATGTAGTTGAAGAGCGTAGGGCGGACGAGCTTGACGTTCTTTGCCGACAAACGACTAGAAGCTTTGTTAGCTATGTCCGCACATGACCAATACGGGACAAACTTACGCAAGAGCGAAACCCTCGACTGGTCCCGATGCGTTGCCAAACGAACACATTGTACCCTTCCTCCTCACGACAGACAATGAGCTATCAAAGGTAGACTTGCCGACGGAGTCGAAAACAGCGTGAACACCCTCACCCCCAGTTGTCTCTAGCACTTTCTTGACGAAAACATCTCGGTTGTCCTCGTGATACTCTAGTAGGACCTCTGCGCCATTCTGCTTGGCCAGGTTCCTCTTCTCTTCTGTACTTGCTGTAGCAATGACCCTTGCACCGACCGCCCTCAGCAACTGGCACAGCCATAATCCCACACCACCAGCTGCAGCGGTTACGAGAATCCAGTCGCCTTCCTTGACCTCGTAAGCATCACGGATCAAGGTTACGGCGGTTAGTGCCTGGAGAAGCGAAGCAGCGGCTGTCTTGGTGGAGATGGAATCAGGGAGTGGAATTGTGTAGTTCGCTGGTGCAGCGGTATACTCTGCGTACGCCGATTGGCCCATGTATGCTACTCGCGCACCGGGTTTGAGGTCAGAAGGTGCATTAGGCCCGACGGAAGCAACGGTTCCAGCGCCTTCCCGACCGAGAACATACGGGAACTGCGGTGGCTTGTATACACCCGAACGGAAGTAGCTGGCGACAGTTTAGCATGATATCCTGGGCTCTGAAAAGACGAACAAGGGTACTTACGTGTCGATGTAGTTGATGCCGATGAACTCGTTCTTGACGAGCACCTCGCCTTCCTTCGGCTCCGGGACCGGCACATCAGTCTTGTACTGCAGAACTTCTGTTCCACCGGTCTTCTCGATGTACACAGCTTTCATAGTCTTTGGCAGGGAAGACATCTTTCTGATGATGGATGCTCTTGGAGCAATGTGCGAATTGATGGCACGGAGGCGTATTGTCGATCTGGAGAGTAGATTTGTCGAGCGCAGAGTGTGTGAAGCCAGCGTCATGAGTCACGAAAGATGGGCTGATGGTCGGCTCAGTTTAAGCAAGCTATTTCAAGAGAGGCATGCCCGTTGATGATAAATACCCGCGGACACGTCGTTAATTCCGAGTGATCTGCAAGGTGACAGCCCCACTCCCCGCACACGTCATTCTCGTCCCCGTTCGCGACTTACTTTAGAAGGCGGCAGTCGCAATCGCATTCTATGTCATGACATGCTGCATCAGCATCCTTGGAATCTGTACTTCGTAGGGCGCACCAACATCGTGCCAACCCGGCAGGGCGTGCTCATTACAAAGCGAACCTGATTATGGACGCGACGGGTTAGCCATGTGGATATCGCCCGCCGTTCATCGGCCTGCTGGGTTGAGCGCCATCCGTTACGTATCTGCGATTCCCTTCTACCGCTGCTTCTTAGTTGGATCAGAATCCCCTTCAAATTCACAGATTAATTTCAGTGCGCACTGAAAGTGGTGTTACTTCAATTCTCTATACTCGGGTAGCCTTGTCTTTCTCGTAGTTCCATCTTGCCTATGAAATCAATGCGATGATCAGCATCTTCCTAGCCTACGTTCATGAGCGTTTTCGTGTCGTTCATTATCTTACCACATGCCTTTTTTCTTACCTTGCACACGTGTATGTTAGTGCGCCTTCCATTCTCACCACCAGAGACGCACAGGTAGTGACCTCTTCATTTGAATTGGGACAGGATCTTGTTTAAGCAAGACATGGCGAGGCCAGTGTCACCTCTTCTTGAGCCATCAGATCACAAAACGCATTTCCTTGCAACAACGGTCTTCTTTCCTTTACCCCTCCTCTCACTCCTCGTTTTGCGGACTACATCAGCGGTGACCGAGCGCACAGTGCAAATGGTCAGCCCCCAAACATATTCTACTAGTTCTGCGCAACTTTCTCTTCCTTGAAACTACATTCGAGGATAGTCATGACCATCCAAAGTTGCCTTTGTACACCGGATACCCGACGTTCTCTACCCGGCACTATCCTGCTGGACCCAAAGTTACTTCACCATGAGCTCAAGAATGCTTTGGCAGTTCTTGAATGGTCAAGGATCATCTTCCCTGACGAATTCGAAGCCCTGCCTGATTCAGATGATTCCAAGACGTATAATCTGGAGGTTGCCGAGACGTCCACGATCTTGAAAGCTGTCGCGGAAACGAGCTTCGACCCACCTTGTACGGCCGCTAAGTAGCTCTGGGGCGCTGAAGAGATCACTGTACTTATATTCATTCAAGACTCTTCTCTACTGGCATGTCATATCCACGGCGAGCAAATTATCGGCGAGTTTAGCTTACTGGAGTGGCCCACAGACTACAGGCCGACATTCATGGACGCTTTTACCTCGTGTTCATTGAGTGATAGTCGGCCGCCCATACCTTTTGAGATCGCGCTTGAGATAGAGGCGACCACCAGGTACTATCTTGCGGCAAAAGGTGTGGTACAGGCTTTACAATGTGACGGTCGGATGTTCAAGTGGAACTTCACACGCGCATGCCAACGCGATCATCAGAAGTTATTGAAAGAAGGTAAACTGTTAGTTAAACCATGTATCGAAAGCATCTGATTCGTTCCAAGTAGCACAGAAGTCTGTGGGCCAATTGTAAAACTTCCGGCGTCAAAGAAAACGCCTACGCGCAGTGAGGAACTCTCCATTCTTCCCATGAACAATTGTTGATCACAAACAGGTAATACCAGAGAAAACGCTTCAGGCTCCGCCGAATAACGTATTAATGGTCTTCTAGACTCTTCTGACGTATTTCAAGATGGTAGATCGAACCAAGAAGCAGTCTGAAGCGCTAGAGACTCTATACGGAGGCCATGCTCGACTCGAATAATAAATTGGAGGGCTAGCAACTGAGCACGAAGAGGTCATCAGATAAAACAGGGTTATGGGGAATAACTTGCAAACTATGGTCGAGTTTGCTGAGAAGTCAAAGAATGCCGCAGTTCTGGGTAGGGTCGCGAACGAATCGACTATGGCTCACATCAGGAAGCTAGAGGAGAGGGTCGAAGAGCTGGAGACACAGATGAGAAAGCAAGAGACTTTGGTCAAGCAAGAAAAGTTCGAGAAACGCCGCAGCGCTACGGACTCGGCTCAGTGAGCCTGGCGATCACCACATGCCACAACTCTGTGTTTTGAGGGTAATACAGAAATTTGGAGTCAATGCTTGCTGCAGATGACGCCTTCATCTGTACAATGAAAGCGGTCTGGCTTACTCAAAGTTCGGAAGGTGCCATCGCAACTTGGAAAATGCAACAAGAAAGTGAGATTATCAGAATGGCAAGGAAGAGATAGAAGAAACATAAAGGAAACAGTTGCAGTATAGTGCAGGAGGCAATCATCTTGCCCAACAACTGAAGCTTGGGGGTTCTTAAGACCACAGCACACTTGCCGATGGGGCTGCGAAACACGCGCACATTTTTCCACATCTAGTAAATCAATATTCTACCACAGTCTCTAGGGTTGATTCCAAGGTAATGCGTCCTGTCTCACTATTTGCGTTGCTGTATGAAGTGAGGTTGCACGATGCTTCCCTTTCATCGCTCCTCCCTCAACCGCTTCCATCGGCGCGCCTCGGTGAGGCCGCTAACCAGTTCTGGCATCTCCAGTCGTCGCATTACGGTGAAGATGAGTCCAGTTTGGGCGCAAACTTCCATAGCCAGTTCCCTCTGCGCGACTGTTGTTCAGATACATCCGCTCGTTCCTGACTACACACATCCACACCATGGCGCCCGCTGGACTTACCTTCGAGGACGTACAAGCTTGGGCATCCCGAGACTTCCCGGATCAGTTCAAGCACCTTCCTGATGCAGGAGCATTTCATACACAGTTCAACATCATCCGCGGCTACAATCATGACAACAGCTTCAAAAGCTTTGTCATAGGCAGCACCTACACTAAAACAAGGAAGCCGGCAGACCTCATGGCCTGGCTTGAAGGTCCCCGCATAATCCTCGGCTACATTGGAAAGAACCGGAAGGGGGAGCCACAGATTCGTCATGTGGTCTTGACACAAGAAAACGCCTCTTCTTGGAGCTTGAAATTTCCATTCAACTTGATCCCACCGACTCAAAGCCAGACGGAGGTTGCTTGCTGTGATGCTATGCTACGCTACTACTTCCTTGCAAAAGGCTGGAGTAAAGGCGTAATCGACAAGTCGAACGTTTTCAACAGATTCGTATCCAGGTTTCCTTACGCTTATCGGGCTATTGCCAACGCTGTCGCGGAGGGGCCAGAACTGGTTCCGATCCCATACTATACTGTCTATCCACAAGAAGCTAGTCGTATTCCGGTAGCATCAGCAAGTCAGCACCGTACGTCTAAGATCAGCCATCTACAAAATCCGAGTAACTGACACTTGAGCTTAGCGCTTTGTCCACAGAGGACTGCCTATCTTTTCGAGCAGATTGCCAACGACCCACTCCCAAGCCGATCGTACACTGTGCTCAACAGCCCATCACCCAGTCCGCCGCCGATTGAGGAACCCATAACGCCCCAAGTACTACGCTCCCCATTTCAGCTGCAGTCCCGATTCGGAGATCCACAGGCAGTCAGTCCTGGTGGGGATCAGATCGTGGCACTCGATGGGTCGAACGATGCCGACGAGCGAGACAGCTCCGGGCTGCGAAATAAGCTTTTCGATCTCAACATCCGGCTCATGGTTGCGGAGGGTCTCGCTCAGGATGCTGAGACAGCAGCTCGGACAGCTCAGGAATAGGCACAGCTCTGGAGGAGACGATATGAAGAATCCGAGCCCTACAAGGCCAAGTATGACGAGATGAGAAACCACTTTAATCTGCAAGAATAGGTCAGAATACAAGCTTGGAAGTCGCTGGTCAGAACATCGTACGGAGAGGGCAGAGCCTGTGGATGGAGCTGTCACACAATGTGCAAGCAATAGACGAGGACTGAGCAGCGTTTCGGTTGTGCCGTCGGAAGGCCGATAATTGATGCGGTAGGCAACGCTATGTAATGAGGATCTGAGGGCAATGCTGGGCGGTCCTATCGCATGGGCGTAACGGCACAGTCAACTCTACTCTTAAGAATGCATCGCTTTCGTGTGTAAATCTTTACCGGTGCCCATTGATGAAGAGAAGGTGAGACTTTTCCAGGGTCCATTCACATGCATAGAGTCTTGAAAGGCAGGTGCGCCCCGCTTACGTCGCGTACGCGTTCCCACGCGGACGCAGCGTGAACCAAGTTCGCGCACCGCCGCTACGTCATCGCTCACATCGCAATCAAGCGCAAGCCCACAAACATCTACCGCGCGCAGAATCCCCACTTCACATGACAGATGCGCATACACCTATTTCAATACTCTTCCATCAAAATAGTGCACCTTAGACCCATTTGAGGCATTTCAGCATGGGCGCATTACTATCCTCTATCCTTGCGCCTATCGCCCTACCGCTGGGCTCGTTCTTAGCCATTCCTATGCTATCCTCCTGGTCGACAGGCCTAAATCTCATCTTCCTCTCGGTCGCATGGACGACAATCGCCGCATCCTATTCTCCTCTTCAACTTGAGCTAGTTGCGCCACTAGTACTTCGACTATCTCTCTACATCATCCCCAGCCTGATCTTCTTGCTATTCGATATCGGGTTACCAAGTCTAGCAATCGAGTTCAAATCCCAGGGACAATGGGGTATTCCAAACAATCAGAAGGGTGGCGCACGCGCAGTGAGGAGGGTAATTGCGTGGAGCTGTGCAAATGTGCTGCTCAGTGTGGCTTTACAAGCGGGTATTGAGTTCTTGATCACAGACGTACTGCAGATGAGGAGTCTGCTACTCATCAAAGGCAGTCGATGGGGATTGAATCACCTGCCAAACCCATGGACGATGGTCAAACATGGCATTATCGGACTCTTGTCTCGTAACGTAAGATACCATAATTGCGTTCCCCAACAAAGACGTGCTAACAGACATGTCGTAGGTCCTGCAATACTATATCCACACACATCTGCTCCATTCGCCGACCGGTGGGGCACTCTCGGACTTGCATCAGAGCTGGCACCACAGCATCAAGATCCCTTACTCGTTTGCCGCAAACTACGACCACCCCATCTGCCACCTCCTGCACCGCTTTCTACCTCTATACCTCCCAGCAATTGCTCTGCGGATGCATATCCTCACTTACTTGATCCTGATCGCTATCTTCAGTCTAGAAGAGACCTTTGTGTACTCCGGGTACAATGTCCTACCCTCAACCATCATGCTGCGAGGCATGGCACGACGCGCCGACGCGCACATGATGAGTGAAGGAGAGGGTAACTACGGATGCATGGGTGTCTTGGACTGGTGCCACGGGACAACACTGGGTAAGGATGTCGTTGAGGACCTGAAGGCGGAGATGGAGAAGCACAACGTGGAGGAGAAGGCGGGGAAAGCTATAGATGGCGCGGGGGAAGCGGCGAACGGACTGGCGGGGAAGTTTGGCAGGGCTAGGAAAGGAAGGGGAAAGAAGTAAGTAGGTAAAGCGGCAAGCCTATGGTTATGTAACGAGGTCTGTGTACGTATGGCATTGGTGCAATCGGTTCGGTGGTGGTAGTGTCCTTGGTTAGCGGTCGCTTCTGATACCCTCACGTCCTGTTGCTGGGAGTTCGCGGGCAGTCGGCGCAGTAGCGGTCGAAGAATGTAACGTCTGTATCTCTATTCCATGCATCAGTACTCGATTACCACCCAGTATATACCGCGCCAATTGAACGCCCAACTATGACATCACGCAAGCGGAGACCAAATGTTCACTTTTGGACCGTCTCAGATTCGCTCGCTTGTTATAAAGTCTTATGGTAAATGCCTTGTCGGTATCCTCCATGAAAAAAATTGGCTGCCGTGCCGCTGCGATTCTTGTTTCTCGCTAGTACAGCCGCAGTATGCCGAAGTCGTCTTTCATCCCATGCACTGAACGCCGAATGCCCGATCGTTATCCGTCGCTTAGAAGACCATCTGGTGAGGCCTGTCGGAGCTACGGAGGCTGAAGCTGGCACCGAGGTAGTCGGCGAGGTGAGCCTCCTTCTTGATGGTGGCCAGAAGAGCCTTGTCGACGGCCTTCTGGTCCTCGACGCGGTCCTTGGAGGTCTCCTTCTTCTGTGGCTTTTGTCAGTACTGTCGCATTGCACTTCCATCATGTGCACGTACCTCGGGCTTCTCGCCCTGCTTGAAGAAAGCATCCTCACCCGGCTTGTGGGCGGCCTTGTCCTTGGTGAAGTAGCCATCCTGGCTGGCCTTCTCCACAACCTTCTCGTCTACGCCCTTCAGGTCGACGCTGGTAGAGGTGGCAATGACATATCGGGCGTTTACTCGGCGAAGGGGAACACCGTTGACTTTGAAGGGACCGGTAACAAGGAGGACACCCTGGGAGAGGTGCTTGAGGACGACGACGCGCTTGCCGCGGAAGCGACCAGCAAGGAGGATGACGACGGTACCGGGCTGGAGAGACTGGCGGACCTTCGCAGGGCGGACAGACTTGCGGGCCTTGAGTCGCAGTTAGCGGAGCTCCAATTGATGTCTTGATTCTTGTCTTTGCACCCAAACACCCGCCGCATGCTGTCGCAGTGAATGCACCCAGCACCCCTGCAGTCCTTCTCTTCCGTGCAAACCATCGTCTATCGCGAACGTACCTTCTTGGGGACAGCAACGTCCTCAGCAGGGTAGTACTTGCTGGCCTTCTGCGAGTGGTGCGGTATCGACCTCTCCCCCTTGGAGAACTTCTGGGTGGTGGGCTTCGTGTCCTCTTGTTTGGCCGCCATTTCGTTTCGCTGTGGTCGTTAGTGCTGGTCGGTGGTGTTGGCGATGGAATCGTATTTTCGTGAATTCGAGTGTGTGCCAAGCTGTCCAATCGATACGCGCGACCGGGCCGAGAGTTGTTCCGTGGGTTACGTAACCCGCGTGGAGCTTGCAGCTTGCGGCGATGCTCGCGGTACCGCCGCTGAACATCACTGCCCCAACACCAACACACACCGCAGACATGTCTATCCAACCGCTCATCACCTTCAAGGCCGGCCAGTGTGAGCTGACTGTAAGCGTTGCGGACACTGACAATCCAGATCGTACACTAACAGTGGCTACAGCGCGGAGAAGGCAACCAACAGACAGTCAAGCCAGTACCAACACCAGGCTATGTCTACCTGTACCAAGGAGAAGATGGTTTGTTTGCAACCAACTTAGACCCTTCCTCAACTTACACATTTAGAATTCGTGCACTTCTGCTGGCGACCACGCGACCGCTCACTCGACCAGTCGGACCTGGACCTCATCATGATCCCCGGTGACGGCTCCTTCCAACCCTACACCGGCAAGGACTCCATCGATGACCCCGAGAACATCAAGTCGCCCACCGACGGCCGCATCTTCGTCCTCAAGTTCAGCTCGAGCTCACAACGCTATCTCTTCTGGTTGCAATCAAAGTCGCAGCACCCGCGCGGCGCGAGTTGGTTCAGCGAGCGCGACCTCAAAATCGGACAGGTCATTGATCTGCTACTGACAGGCGAGGAGATTGATGTACAGGCTGAACTTGTAGGTATCTCGAGCTCATCCAACAATGACGAGGATGAGACAATGGAAGACGTAGAGCCATCTAGCCGAAACCGCCACGGTAGTACCGGAGGCGCTGGTGCTGGTGCCACAGGCGGTGATATCCGAGATGAGGGCGAAGAGTCCCGAGAAGGGGGCGCCGATGGTGGTCGAGCGTAGGTTCCATCTATTTGTATCGCATTCGGCGTCGTGGCGCAGTCTACCTTCCCGGACAGAATCGAGCTGCTGTGAAAATTACCAACGGCTCTATACAAAACTATAAAGATATCCTGTCACGGTACGGCGTTTTGGGAGAAGCATAAGACCATCCAAACATATGGCGATTGGCACTGGCTGCTCATGTACAACAATAGAAAATAAGCATCATGCTACGTCTTCCACTGGCCACGCCGCGGCGCTCGTTTCGCGTTTTTGCTTTTGTCTATTCTCTTGAACATTTCCGCTAACGCGTCGACAGAGCCGGATCAGGTGATGTCTCTGCCATTGTGCAAGACTTCATGAACTCACTCAAAGGCGGCAACGCAGGCGGCAGCTCACAACAAAGAGGATCAGAACCCTTCGCTAGCCTTACCGAGTTCCTCTGGCCTACGCATACTCTCTCAACCGTTGAGAACGCTTCCGACGAGACCATCGACGCACTGTGTGCCCAACTACCGACAATCCCTTTCCTCCTAGAAGCCGAAGTCGAAGATATCGATCAAATCGACCCCAACTCCGAGACCGCGCAGATGGCCATTCAGACATTGGGTCGGGAGGAGAAAATTGAGGTTCTGAACAGGGTCCTACGCGCACCTCAGCTGAGGGGAGCATTAGGCAGTTTGAACGAGGCGCTAAGGACCGGTGCTCTACCGACTGTCAGCCAGGCACTGAATATTGATGTCGAAAACGGAGGCTATATGAGAGGTGGAGGCATGCCACTTGGTGGCGGAGATGCAGTCAAGGCTTTTCTGGAAGGTGTCAAGAAGACAGTAGAAAAGGAGAAGAAGGGCGGCGATGACATGGACACCAGCTAGATAGCCAAGCGGCTCTAGCGATTTGGATATTCTCTTGCATGGAATGACGACCGACACACGACTGATGCACACATAGACGACAATGATCAATGGCACGAATATTGCATGGCAAGGGTAGGGTAATGCATTTATTCTCGCTCTCATCGGTACTTTTCAAATCCTCTTCTTAGATGTTCGCTTCCCATCTAGGACGACCTCCAAAATGTACAGACAGCCATTCAACGGATATGGTCTTTCCAAACATTCATCCCCACTACCGACTCTCTTTTGTCCCACATTCACCGAAGAAATGGTTATCAGCCAAATCGTTCCATAATTCCGCTCAACTGCTCAATATCCTCATCTTTGACTCCCGGATGTTGTTCGCGATAAAGCTTCATCCACGCATCGCGTTGATCCTCATACTGCGGTTGCGGGTAGCACCCCTTACAAGGTACTCTCAGTCCAGGCAGGTAACGGGGAAAGTGGTAAGCGCAGAAGTTGGGCTCTACGGCACTGTTGAGATGTTAGCCATCGGATCATGCAAAGAGAGGAATGAGACACAGTGCTGACGGGCTACTGACCTATCGTCAACTTCAGGGTTGGCAGGCGTGAAGAATGTAGAGGATGAGGGCGTATAGGTGGAGATAGGCGCATCGATTAGAGTGCCAGTGGTGGAGAAGGTGGGTGAAGGCTGACTCGGACTTGGAGATGCTGGAGACATTGACACCGGGGAAGTAGAATGGCTCTGCGTATAACCCGATCCCGCACCCGGCGCCTCTGGTCCTGTACCCGGCGCCATGAAGCGGAACGCTGGAGCATTGCCTCCACCTTGCTGCTGCTGTTGTTGTGCTTGACTGCCCAGCACCGCCGCTCTCAGCGGAGAAGGATGAGCCTGTGGTTCACGATTACGCTGTGACGGCAGATCTTGGACATCGGTTCTCCGCGCTGGTAAAACTGGCGACGAGGACGCCATGGAAGACACAACGGAACTTGAGCGCGACAGATCCGGTGCATTTCCACGATCGCTGGGGATGCAGCGGCCTTTAGCGATAGCATGGGGACACGGCGTTGTACAGATCGTTCTGTTGTGTCCGCAAGCATAGACTTGAAGGAGTTTGTGACACATTCTGGGTAGACCTTGACGTTCTGTTAAGATGATTGGGGGCTTTCGGTGTATGAGTTGGTAGGTAACTCAAGATCAGAAGCTGGAAGTAGGGAGCAGATGAATGTCAGAGCGGCAGCGTGGAGGTGAGTTGTCACAAAGTCGGAGGCGGTGATGTGTCGCAAAGAGCTGGTAAAGGCGGCGGCTCAATCATTCACAGGCGGTATGTGAGCGTTGGTTTAGCTTATTCATGTACCAGCATTCGTTTGCCTACCTGCGCGTTTGTCAATATAAAAACAACATTGTACACTCAGGAAGACACGACTTGGCAGGACAGGGCACGGCACGTCAGAACTTTGAGTTCTATGCTAAAAGCTGTATCAACATTGCAAAATCATGAATGACCAGTGTAACGACAACCGCTTCTCCATGCCGCAAACACCGCGCCATCGAACTCCATGCCACCGAATGCTCGAATAAGAAATACACTTCATCAGTTGGCCATATACTAGTAACTCCGTCCGAACAAGATCCACTGCTTGGCGGGAGTCTGACAGTCGGGGTTGATGCACTTGGTCTTGCCAGGCTCAATACCCTCGGGCTGTTCGAAGGGAATGCACAAACTCTTTGCACCCATGGCAGGAGCCTGCTTGTCTTCCGCAACGCCATCGCCCAACGCAGTCCGTGCGCTCTTCGCCTTGACCTCATCTTCGCACTTGTCGCCCTCGCAGTGGGGGACTAGGACGACGTTCTTGCCGTTCAGGGTTGGGACAAAGTCATCCCAGTTGGTAAGCTGGATCCGGTGGTCCCGGTATGCCTTGTCAGCCTTGTTGAACATGTCTTCCTGGATCTGCTCGAGTAACTTGGGGACTTCTTGTGTGAGGCTGTCGACATTGATGGTACCACGTGCGGCGTCCTTGTCATCGATGTCGCGACGGGATGTGGTAACAACTCCCTTCTCAGCGTCTTTGGGACCGAATTCGATTCGGAGAGGAATACCCTTCAACTCCCAGTCGTTGAACTTCCAGCCTGGAGAGTAGCCCTCGCGGTAGTCGGTCTCGACGCGAACACCGGCGTCAGTAAGATCGTCATGAATCTTCTTGACCTTGCTGTAGAGATCCTCCTTAGCCTCAGCAGACATTCTGATTTCGTTAGCATTGGCACAGTTGAGTCATCAGTGATAAACTTACTTGGCGGTGACTCCCACCGGAATGACAACAACTTGGATCTCAGCCACCCTAGGAGGAATGACTAGACCTCGGTTGTCTCCGTGAGTCAGAATCATGACACCGATCGAACGCGTAGTCAGACCCCATGAGTTCTGCCAGACGTGGACGTGCTCCGACTTTCCAGCCTCCTTAGCGGTGGGGTCCTCGACTGTGATGTTGAACATCTTTGAGAAATGTTGACCGAGAGCATGGGATGTTGCAGCCTGAATACCGCGGCCAGTAGCGGGGATGAAACCCTCGACGGTGGTGGTGTAATCAGCTCCAGGGAATTTCTCGTTGACAGTCTTCGTTCCCTTCACAACGGGAACGGCAAGCAGCTTCTGGTATACATCAGAGTACCAGTCCAGGATCTGGAGAACCTCATCGCTCGCTTCTTTCTGGGTAAGATGTGCGGTGTGGCCTTCTTGCCATAGGAACTCGCGCGATCGGATAAAGGGCATGGGATCTAGACATTAATTAGACACTGCCGAAGAAAACAAAAGCTCAGTACTCACGCTTGAACTCCCACCGAACGACGTTGTTCCACTGGTTCAGCTTCAGGGGAAGATCGCGATGCGACTGGATCTTGCGCGCGAAGTAGGGGTACATGGCTGTTTCGGAAGTAGGGCGCACAGCGACGGGCTTCTCCAGGTCAGATTTTCCGCCCTTGGTCACCCACGCGACCTCGGCGGCGAAACCTTCCACATGCTCCTTCTCTCGCTCCAAGTTATCCGCGCTGATGAAAATCGGGAAGTATGCGTTTCGGACTTTGAGCGTCTTGATCTGGCTGTCGAACCAGGACTTGATGTTCTCCCAAATGGCGTACGAGGAGGGCTCGAGGATATAGCATCCGGCTACGTCGTAGTAGGAGATCATTTGTCCCTTCGTAATGACCTGTTGGTACCAGTCTCCCAGGTCGACCTCCTTAGCGACATCGATACCAATCAGCGCTGAACCTTCGATCTGGGACATGATTAGTATCGCGTATGATGTCGGACGTTTGGTGTTGCCGCATAAACCTACCTTCTTCTTCTGTTGCTGAGGCTTCTTGGCGGCTTTTTGCGGGTTACCATCCTTCTTGCTCTTCTTGGTCTCAGAGATGGAAAGATCCTTCATCTTGCCATCGGCAGCTGTGGCTTCAGCCATGTTGGGAAGGTGCTAGAAAAGGCTGTCAGCGTCTCGCAAAGGATATCTTGACGAGTACCAATCGTTGCAAAGGTAGTAGAATCGCGATTGTATAGATATTCCAGCCAAATCCATCTGTATATAGGAAGAGTTGGTGGGGCAGGCGGGGTATCAAGACGCGACTTGAAAGTACTTACGTGCGATTGAGCTATGGAAAGTTGAATAGACGGTGGGGAACCCGAACGATATAAAGCGAGAGCACTTTAGAGTCACGCAAAGCTAGGACAGAGTCAGCTTGTTGCAGTCTCGTGTGAGTCGACAGCCAAATGTGTGGAGGGCCGAGTCATCGGCGCAGGGGTCCAGACTAGCGCGACTGACGGGCGGAGCTACCATTCGCCGTCGCCGACGCGGGCGGGCATTGCTGGAGATTTTCTGGACCGCGTAGAGGCAGCAACAACGAAGCAGAACAGCTATCACCCGACACAATGGCAGGAATCTTCGAGCAGTCACGTAGCGGAGGGACTCTGTGTAAGCCGCGGAAGCTAACAACACGGCCGCAAAAAGCTAACATGTGCAGTCCTCGGCGGCCAGAAAATCAGCGGCCAGGACATTCGCGACCAAAACGTCCTTGCGACCCAAGCGATCTCCAATGTCGTCAAGTCGTCCTTTGGGCCCTCAGGCCTCGACAAGATGATGGTGGACGACATCGGCGACGTTACCGTGACCAACGACGGCGCTACCATCCTCAGTTTGCTGGACATCGAGCACCCCGCAGGCAAAATCCTCGTCGACCTCGCCCAACAACAAGACAAGGAAGTCGGAGATGGCACAACCTCCGTCGTCATAATAGCGGCCGAGCTGTTGCGGAGAGCAAACGAGCTCATGAAGAACAAGATCCACCCCACCACAATCATCACAGGCTACAGGCTGGCGCTGAGGGAGGCGGTAAAGTACATGAACGAGAACATCAGCACCAAGGTCGATGCGCTCGGTCGGGACTCGCTAGTTAACATTGCGAAGACGTCCATGTCCAGCAAGATCATCGGCTCCGACTCCGACTTCTTCGCCAACATGGTGGTAGACGGCATGACTGCTGTCAAGATGACAAACAACAAGGGCGAGATCAAATACCCCGTAAAGGCTGTCAACATCCTCAAGGCACACGGCCAAAGCGCGACTCAGTCGATACTGGTCAAGGGCTACGCTCTCAACTGCACGGTCGCCTCGCAAGCCATGAAGACGCGCATCACCGATGCTAAGATTGCCTGCTTGGACATCAACTTGCAGAAGGAACGAATGAAGTTGGGTGTTCACATCACCATCGACGACCCTGAGCAGCTAGAGAAGATCCGAGAGCGTGAGGCTGGCATTGTCACCGAGCGCATTGAGATGATCTTGAAGGCCGGCGCCAACGTCATCATGACTACAAAGGGTATCGACGACCTCTGCCTCAAGCACTTCGTCGAGAAAGGTGCCATGGCTGTGCGAAGGTGTAAGAAGGAGGATTTGCGAAGGATAGCGAAGGCAACCGGAGCAACCCTGGTCAGCACACTTTCCGATCTAAACGGTGATGAGAAGTTCGAGGCAGCGAACCTTGGCCATGCTGAGGAGGTTTCACAAGAGCGCATTTCCGACGACGAGTGCATTTTGGTCAAGGGTACCAAGGCCTTCTCATCCGCATCCATCATCCTGCGAGGTGCGAACGACTACGCCTTGGACGAAATGGAGCGATCAGTGCACGATTCATTATCGGCCGTGAAGCGAACGCTGGAGAGTGGCCGCATCGTTCCTGGTGGAGGTGCCGTTGAGACTGCGTTGCACATCTACCTAGAAGAGTGGGCAACGTCAGTGGTAAGTCACACCAATCCTTGCATGTCTATCAACGTGACTAACAATACACCTAGGGCTCTCGGGAACAGTTGGCCATTGCTGCTTTTGCACAGTCTCTGCTTGCTATTCCTAAGACGCTTGCCATCAACGCAGCCAAGGATGCTACCGAGCTCGTCGCCAACCTCCGATCACGGCACGCTCTTTCACAGCGTACAGTGAACCCTTCAGACCCTTCGTCGCAAGACGCAAAGCAGCTGGCCAAGTCGAAGAACTACAAGAACTACGGTCTGGACCTGTCAAACGGTAAGGTGCACGACTGCCTAAAGGCCGGTGTACTAGAACCCAGCATGAGCAAGGTCAAGCAGTTGAAGTCAGCAGTGGAGGCGTGTGTTGCCATTATGCGTATCGATACCCTGATCAAGCTGGATCCAGAGGAGCAAGGTGGAGGTGGTGACGATGGCCATGGACATTAGATAACATGGCGTCAAGAGGAGATAGACCCGACTGAAAAGATAACGACAGCGTAATGAAGGCTCCAAGCCCACGTGCAAGATGCCCCTGTGTTATTCCCACCCTGTTCCAAGCCACTCTAAGGACCTTCAACCGAAATCTGCTTGCCGTGGCACTGACTCATTAAAGGTTTGGGGGCCAAATGTGACCATCGTGTAGGGCTTTCGGACCGACTAGCACCTGTTCTCCAAAGCTATGTAGGCAACCAAACCTTACGGGCCTCGATTCGCACCAAAAGATTCCCAACGATATGATCGTGCACAAGCTCATCACTTGCAGCTGTCATTTGAGGACATGAGAAGGCTTGTTGAATTATTGCGCCTCAAACCCTACCTCGGCAGTTCACGGCCACGATAGGGATCTACATGCGAATCTGCCGCGTCGCACAACACATGGCTTTCCGGTGAGACTATCTGGCGACCAAAACATCCGACGTGCCTGGTGTTCATATTAAAAAGGTAAAGCGCACGGTGATGATGGCTGCACGCGGCTTGTTTATAACCTATCGCGGCGCTACACAAGCGAGGCGGATTGTTTCTTTCTTCTTCAGCTCGCTACCCCATGCTAGTAACACACCCCCGTTGTCCCTGCAGCGGTCACTATTTCGTCTAGCGTCAAGATGAGCACCATATGGAAACGTTGAACAAATGTGTTTGAATTGCTGAAGCAATGGAGAGAATGGGTAGAAATAGCGTCGGTATGGCGAAAGTATTAAAGCAACCCCGTTTGTGCAACAAGCACATCCAACCGCACACTTTCACAAAGTCTTGATGCACAAAATCTCTGCTGATCAGCCTTCAATACGCTCTGCTCGTATGTGTAGCCGCAACATGCAAGCCCCAGCGGGTCGCTGCACGCCTTACGGCGCAGCATCTTTTGCATTGCTCGTAGCCCAACATATGGGTACTTAGCTTGTAACGCCCTGCTTTTTCCTAAAGGTGGTTTCTCTATTCCTCGTTTTGTGAACTTCCAATTCTGGGACGCCATGGCATATACCAAAGTCGCCTCGTTGTTGGCTGTTGTCGGTTCCGCAAAGTATGTGAACGGTGCTATGATACGGGCACCGACGCCTGCTGTCACGCCCGCCCCTGCTGCAACAGCTGCAGCACTGGCTGTTAGGGATATTACTACCATCGGGTACATATCTACGGGCACATATGGCTCGACTACGCTATGTAAGAGAAGTCATTTACATTGCTGCTTGACGATTGCTAAGACTTCTAGATGAGACCATCACTGCAAATAACGAGGGTCATGTCATCGCAACATCAGGTAGCCTTTACAAGATTTGTGCGCCAGAATCCCTTTGCGAGTTCTTTTCTTGTGAGAGCGATTACGTCGTGTACCCGACCACATCAATTTTCTGGTACGTGTTGGCTTCTTTGTCTGAATACTGTATACTGACATGACATCGCAGTGGAGGCTCAAGTTCCACTTGCAGCTACTGGGAGCTGGCAACCGACATCAACGACCCTTCACCATTGACCAACTACTGGTGTGATGCTAAAACGGAAACGGGAGGAAAGATCTTGATGACCACCCCAGATGACGGTATGTGATGTCTCTCCAACCGTGATGAAGCATTGACTGACAATACACTTCCAAGACACATCAACCTCCCCTAACACTGGCTTATCCTCGAATACCCCAGTCTCTCTGTCCTTCACTCCACTCTCACGCACCGCTTCCGCTCGTCCCTCAGATGCGCCACTTGACGTTACACCTTCCTCTGGCAACGAAGAATCCAATGAATCCGACAAATCTAACAAATCCAAGAAGTCAACCCCAGTAGGCGCGATTGCCGGTGGAGTAGTCGGCGGCGTCGCTCTTCTAGTCGCTGCAGTCCTCGGAGTCTTCTTCCTTCTTCGCCGCAAGAAGAAGCAACAGAACAACACCACTGTTAACAACAACATGCACCAGCCACCCACTGCACCCCAAGCCCCACCAGCCGGTGTTCAATACTACCACGAGCAGAAGCCCGTCCCTCAGCAACACATGCAGCAGATGCCTTCTCCACCTCCCCAACACCAACAGCACTACGGCCATTACGATCCGAACGCACAACAACCAGCGCAACAGTTCTACGACCCCAACGCTCAGTCTGCGTATGCTGCGCAGCAGGGCGGCTATGCGATGCCGGAGAAGACGCCGGGTGTTGTGAATCCTATGCAGGCGAACCCGCACTATGCGGATGGGCCAGTGAGCCCTGTACCCCAGTACTCACCGGCTGCGTCGCCGCCAGTTCCAGCGACTATTAATGAGTTGCCGAGTGGGAGGATGTGAGTACGGCGATATTGTGTTCAGTCATGGATGATGCGGCCATAATCTTGGAAAGTGGTTAATGTCGTTGTATCGTGCACAGTATGATACTGTGTGCCGCGTAGTGGGTGGAGAGATTGGTGTGCATATCAAGTGCGGTGCCATTTCAGTGTTGATAAATTATACCCCCTGTTACATAACCTACCAAGAGTCAAGACATCCTAAGTGATATTCTTTACTTTGCGGGTTCTGCATTCGTCAGAACCTTGATTTAAGGCTTCGCGCAATATCCCTTGTGAAAACCCCAAGCCAACTTCTGATGGTCTTTGCCGCAATAGTACGCCTCACCACAACCGGCACACTTAGACTTCGCACCTGGTGCTCCACAATGACCACACCATTTCTCCGTTGCTCGATTCATCCACCTTTTTTTCGTTCTCATCGCCACTTCCCTGAGCCAATCGTCTACAGGTGTACCATTGATCGCTAGAGTGCGTTCGCTTTTGCTAGGATCTGCACCCTTAGCTAACATGCTGAAACGCAGGGCAAACTCCTCGGGGGTATCCAGAGCAAACAGCTGCTTTCCCTTTGGCCCTGGCCCGCGTCCTATATCGCCGAACTGCATGGACGAGAGATCGAAGAAGGATTGAACCGTGTCGCTCTCGAGCGGAGAGAAACCTACGACGGCATGCAGAAGTTGTGGCTCGTGCCCACTAACATACATGGCACTCTGTGGGAGTACGCAGATAGCAGTAGTGAGCTCTGGGCTGCGGAAGGACTCTTCGACGATGACACGCCTACTGACTGTTGTCGTATAGAACATACCTGGCTGCTTACCATTGGGCGCGTGTCTCACTCTCAACTTTGTATTTTCGGAAAACAATGCAAAGAAGATTTGAAGCAGACTGATTGCCTGGTAGCAGCCATCATGATTGCGTGCTTGATGGAACAACGTCTCTAGCTGCTCATTGGAAAGTGCGCTATCCTTGCGTTTGTCCGGGTGTAGGAATTCTGTGGGCAGGTCTGGGGCATCTGAATCGTTGGCCTGCTGCTGATCCAATATGATCCACGTAGACGCGTTGTTGTTCCACCCTTGGTCGATTGGACGGCTGAGTGCGACCGTCTTCGGTTGCGTACCTGGGAAAGCGACTTCCCTCAATTTGGTGTGTCGAAGCCGAGGTTCCGTGGTGTTGCGTTCGTAATTGAGCAAGACCGCGATGTCATATAGATCTAGTACCTCCTCGGTGTCCATCATGGTTGCCGGGCGGGCGTTTTGCACTATCCTGCTTGTATGGAATTGAGATGGCGGGGCGCATCATCCCGCTGGAAGCGCAACGCGCTAGATTACGAATTCGCTGTTTTCGGCGTAGCGCCGAACGCGTGCTTGCGTGATCCATGGATGTCACTCGTCGGCTGTTCAGAAGTCGCGCACAAGAGACAATGATAAGTAGCAACACCATTCGTCATTCAGGCCACGTAGGTAGGCAGTGGCATGTCCATGTCTACTCCAAACGGACGTATTCAACTGCAGTCACGTCACGAGAATTCTCAGTGCGACTGCAGGACATAACGAAAGAGCTGAAAAGGGACGAACCAGTGTTTGAGAGGGATAATTCACTTTTGAATCTATGAAGGTAAGAGTTGCCCTACTTGATCATGAGACGTTTTTGAGGTTTTCGCCATCAACCCACCTCAGATAAGGAAAAAACCGACTAGATCTGCAGACTACACCATGATGAAAGAAGCAAATCGAAAGATCTGGCGTCAATGTATGCGTCAGAATGTTCGGTTTTTTTCCTTGGATGAGGTGACCTCTCTCCGCAATAGTCATGTCTTCCAAGGTTGTTCCAGACCAACTCAACTTGCATTGTCAACTTTTAGCCCTGCGAGCAGACTTTGTAGCTATGTATCGCCTTTCCCCGCAACCAGCAGTCTGCGAGACATGTTAGGGCTTGTAGGCAGCCCGTAACAAATTCGGACGACTTACAGTAGCACAGCGCAAAATCGGGCGCCTACTCAACGCGGAGCTTCTTCTCTACCGAGTACTCGTCGGTGTCGACGCTGAGCAATCTCTTCTTGGGCTTCTCAGAAAGCACGTCGTCCAATGAATTCACAAGTTGTTCCTTGGGCTGCTTCTCTGCAGATTGGTCGTCCTCGGGAGTCTTGATCATGTCCGCGTCCGCATTCGCATCCTCATCTGAAGCCTCCGCAGTCTCAGTGCGTACGTCTTGAGTGCCATTGCTAGACGCGACGTCGTCCTCAACTTCAGGGAACATATACTTGAGTTGCTCGATTAGGATCTTGAAGCCTTTGCCAAACTGAAAGTCGCAGAACTCCTCCATCTTGTCGCAGTAGACAAAGACAAAGGCGACCATTGTCTTCAGCTCGTCCGAATAAACGTCCCTCTTTCCGCTCTTGGTCATCTTCTTAAAGAACGCATCGCCATAGAAACTCTTGTGATCAATCTCGATGTCGAATCCCAACCAGGGCTTCGCTTTGCCACCACAGCGAACCCAAAGTTCATGTGTTACTGGAATGCGCCGTCCCTTGGTGTATGAGCCGATGCGGAGCTCTGAAGTTCCGTCTGGGAGAGCTTGGAAGGCAAACGTATCAGGCAAGGGCAGCTTGGCCATCGTGTTAGGGCATTGTTCTTGGAGCATGTCGAGCAGCTGCTCTTTGCCGTAACGCTTGCACCTGCCCATTTGGAGGTTGTAGCTGCCACTTGAATCAGCATGCTGAGAAGGAGGTCATCAATAGATGAGACTCACGGTGGGATACTTGTACGTTGTTGTGTTGGTTATTGAGGAGACAGTGTAGTTACTGTATTCCAGCTTTGAGGGGGGTGAAGGATTGACGGCCGAGTATTATGGTGGCTCGGTTCTTATAGAGCTTGTAGGCATACAAAGTTACTGAGGTGGCGCTAGCATTGATCTCACCCTAAGGTGAGTGAGATGAGGTGAGTCTGAAAATGTCATGTAGCATATTGAGGCCTTGAAGGGGTTTCGAACTTCACTTAAACTGTGGCCTGTACCATAAAACGAGCGCGCTTTGCAGTACGCCACCTACTTTCACCTTCCGATAGGGACTTACAACGACTAGGAAGAAAGCTTGATTCAGAAGCAGATCGCTGTAATGCATATAACGTATCTTGTCAAAATGGTATACCTCTCAACGCCAGTGTACAAGGTATATCATACAAAAAGCAAACTAAAGCCGCGCCATATTCCCTCTCTTCCGCATGCTCTTTGCCTTCCCTTCAACCGCACTCACCTCGTCGCCATCTAGTTCCCGCCTATCAAACACTGCCTCCCCCCAAAGTTTCTCACCAACCAGATCTGCCAGCGCCAAAACCCTCGTCTGAACTGTCGCTCCATCGCGCCGATTCTTGCCTTCTCTTCGCGAAGCGCTAATCCGCTCAGCGAAGCGCCACAATGGTCCATCGGCAATGATGCCGCCGTTCGACCCTCTTTGCGGAGTCCATTCCTCTGCTAATCTGATAGTAGCGGGTGTCTTATCTTTGGATTTCGTGACTAGAATCATGCCTTCTTCCTGGAAGCGCGTATAGGCGTTCTTCAGCGTTTCCTTGTTGACAGCTTCAAAGTAAGAGAGGTCGCCTTGATGGTAGAGAGTCTTGCCGAGCACTTGTGCGCGGTCTTGAACTTTCTTAAGGTCAAGCCAGGCGGATGGGGGTGTATTGGTAGTAGTGGGTGATGTGAGGGGAGGGGTGAGCATCATTAGACTTATGGCACCGAGCCAGGCGGCTTCGATGAACGGCCAGATGAGGAAACAGTAGAAGTCATAGTTTTCGCGTCCTTGGGTCCGTTCAGCAGGGGATAGTTCGATGAAATCCACCGTTTCTTCGCCGAGTTCGGTTGTTGATCGTGACATGGTGATGACGCCGTCTTTTTCTAGTCCTTCAAGTGTTTTGGCGAGATTGGTATCTAGACCCTCGGTGGGGAAGATGAATTCTCCGCGGAAGAGTTGTGAGAGGAAGTGCACCTGTGCGCGTAGATCACCGTAAGACATGCGCTGATATTCCGGGCCACCGCCCTGTTTGACATGCGTGTATAGTGCTGCGCTGACCAGACTCTGTAGGATGAAGAGATGAATGGTCATGTTCCTGTAGAAGGAGAGTTGGAACCTGTCCACGGCGTAGAATGTGTCTTCTGGTAATCCGGGGACTAAGCCAACAAGTCCAGGTCCCAGAACTTCTAAAGCGCGGTCGACGACAACGCTAGTGGGGAGATTGCCAAAGTGTGCTACACGGCCACCTTGGGCTCTGACCCGGTCGCTGAGCCATTCGACTCGGCGGATGAGTTCTGATTTGCCTACACCGCGGCCTCTTAATGTTAGTAAGACTGTACCAACGAGAGCGGTTGGCATCACGACTGAGACGTCGTTGATCTCTGACAAGACCTTGTAACCCAGTGTACGGAGGAGGCGGAGTCGGTCTTCTTTGGTATCGAGTTGCTGGGGAAGTTTGGAGAAGCGTTCGCGTTGCTGGGTGATGAAGGATCTGAGTGACCACGGCTCGTGGAAACGGACGTCTACGCGACCAAGCTTGAGGGAGAGTACGCTAGACGCGGACAGGAAGTCCATGAGGTTTTCTTTGGGTTTTGGTTGACCAAGGAGTTCGCTGATGTATGAGCTGCGGTGTGTTAGCGTTATCTTTGGTGTCACGTCTGATCGAAAGACTTACTCAACCTCAATGACCTTGTCGTACTGCGTCGATACCGGGCAGATGATTGCATCCTCAACCCTGCCGCTCGCGATACTGTCGAGCATGTAACTCAGTATGCCAAACTTGGGCGGCAGAAGCTTGCCTGTACGACTCCTCCCTCCTTCTACGAAGCACTCGAGATTGTATCCACATTGCAGCAGCGTATCAATGTAGGCTTGTACGAGCGTAATGTACAGCTGGTCGTCTCCAAAGCTTCTTCGTATCCACATAGCGCCGGCATGTTGTAGAAAGGATCCAACGACTGGGAAGTTGAGGTTGTCACCAGCCACGACTGTTGGCAAAGCAAGTCCGAGCCGATAGCAGATGATTTGAAGTGAGACGTAGTCTACGTGCGAGCGGTGACACGGAAGGAAAATGATGGAGTGCTTGTCTTTCGCTGCCTTTTCGGCAACAGCGCGTAGGCGAAGCACTTCCTCGCTCGAGACGTGGACGCCCTGGTGGTATGCTCTTGTCAAGAGTTGTGTAGCGAAATAGTATGCGCCTCTTATGAAGCCTTTGCTTTCCATCTTGCAGATCATAGAATCCGTCCAACCCTCGCTGACTTGCATGAGCGATTCCTCAATCTGCACCCTCCTCTTTGCCTTTTTATCTTTCTCGCCGACACCGCGCCCGTGTAGCGCATCTTCGCCTAGCAGCCCTTCCTTGGCCTCGACCTCTACCCTCTTATCCGCCAGCTCCCGCACTTTGGCGACGAGCATTGGGCTGCTCAACACCCTCGCCTTCATATCCTCGCTGAAGCCCGGGTAGAACTCTGGCTGCCCAATGTGATCATCGAAGGACCGCCATCCTGTCCCTGAAAAGTGTAGCGAGACTTCACGAATGAAATCGAGTGGCGAGGATCGAAAGCGCGCGAAGCTGTGTATGAGGCCCCGGTCGGGCGATTCGTTGTAGCCAGCTGCGTGCAGGTAGACATTGTCGTCGGCCGTGATGCTGAGATCGGGAGCTTGTTCGGGGCTCGAGGGGCGCGCGGTGGAGGATTTTCGATCCTCGTCGGAGGGGGCCATGGTGATTGGAATGCGGACGTGGGATATGCAAGGAGCGTCTCCTTAGGGAAAGGGTGCGGCGGAAAGCGCGAATCGCATGGAGAGGACGCGTCTAGGAAACGATCTCGGGAGTTGGAGTCTGCCGGGTGTTTTATTCTCGTGTCAGTCCACGTGCGCACTGGTACTATGACATGATGAAGCAGGCATGGAGCGTCGCGACGATGGACGGTGAGATCGAAGGCCCACTTCCCCGGTCGCTATGCCTCGGCTTCTTGTGGGGAAGCCACGCCGGCGCAGCATCACCTCCGATTCGCTAGCCTCAAGCACCACCGACTTTGACAATTGCTTGGTAGATTGCTGTTAACGTGACAATTTATACTACAATACATCTTGTCTATATACATGCGTCATCATGGGGTGGCTGGCATACTCCAAGTTCCGCGACAGGGCCAGACAGCACATCAGAACACTTCCCACAAACTGACTTTCCCATCCTTAGCTCCTGCAGCGACCCAGTGTTTAAGCTTCGACTGCTCCTCACGCTCTCTTTGCCGCTTATTGGTAGCACTATCTCCGTGACCTGTCGCATCCTGTGTAAGAATCTCGCCGAATGCAGTGGAGTAGACACCTTCCTTATGCCACTTTAACACGGCAACTTCCTTGAGCGTCTTGGTGCTGTATATGCGGATCCGTGAGTCCCAACCACCGGTAATCAGAAGCCTGCCATCAGAGCGGACACGGAGCGACTGTTGACCAGCGTGTTTGGTGTCTATCACTCTAAACGGCTGTTGTAAAGTGACCACTTTCGGGACTGGCGGAGCAGGCTTGAACTTCGGTAGCGGCGCCGCGGACGAAAGCAATGAAGATAGACCACTGGGTGTCGGTGTTTTAGAGCTCGGCTGATGAACAGTTTGCTTTGTGAACAGACCTGAAGACGGTACAGGTGGGTCATTGTCTTCTTTACCCGGAACGGATGGCAACTCCGGTATCTGATGCTGGGCTATTATAGCATCCGCCGAGGATGTGTAGTAATAGTCGCCCTCTGGTGAAGCGTCCAATGACAGGATAGGCTGAGAATGGGGTTGACTAAGGTATACAAGCTGAGCAGTGTCCACGCTCGTATCGGGGTGTTCTTCAGCCAGCTTAAAGGCTGCAGTGACTCCGCCCTCATACCCTGCGAGGAGTAGAAGTCTCTGCGTGGCTCTATTACGAATAAATTTCACAGCCATCACCATGCCTGTTTCGACGGTTCGTATCTGTGGGATCCTGACCTTGAGTAGCTCACCAGGGAAGCTATACACGTCGATCACCTTGTCGTCCGTTGATGGAACCGCCACAAAGATGGAATCATCCTCTGCGATGGAGGCTGGAGGGTGCTGATAACCCATGGAGAAAGAACAGAAGTTGAGGGTATTGACGGGAAGCGAATGGAGAAGCCACGGTTTCGGCGTATGTTCTCGGTTCCCATCTTCAGGCAATGTTGATGAGAGTTTCTCAGTCTCGTCTCCGATTGCTAGTCGCCAGATTCTTATTCTGTTGTCTCGGCCATGTCTGTGTTCGCACTCTCTTGTTAGTATGGTGCGACATGCAGAAGTTTGACAACCCCAAAGTCATTAGTGGTTTGCTACAATGTTACTCACGTTATTATCTTTGCTTCTCCCCATTGGGCGAAGCCTAGGATAGGGCCATCGTGGGCTGGCCAGACAGCAACTGGTCGCTTAGTCTGAACATTCCAGAGGACGACCCAGCCATCTGCGTCGCCCGTCAACAAACGACTGTTCTGACGAACAAACAATGTTGCGTGGATGTGCGAGGCATGGCCGCGAAGAATGGCAGTGGGCTGTGCCGGTGGGAGCGTGGCGGTTTGGCGCTCCAGGGCCATGGACAAGCTGAGGTGTTAGTTTCGGGCAGGCCGGCACGAGAGACGATCGTCGAGAAGCGATGGTGGGGCCAGTGATGAGCGGTTGATTGTCGGGTATACAACGCGAACGACAGGTGCATGCGCGCTTGAAACGGCTGCCTGCTGGGCGTTCCCTTCTCAGACGATGCTCGGTACTAGTGAGCTGAGTTTTGATCGATCGCTGCAGCAGCAGTACGAAACAGCCATGTTGGCTGGTATGGAGAAAGGAGGATTCGTTTCCTCTCAGCTTAGGAGTACATGTGGAGGCGTCGGCAGGTGTTCCAGGGTGGCAGGTGCTATGACAGTGCAAAGATTGCCGAGACGGACAGGGATCTATTCTGGTCTGGAGCTTGTTCGCAAAACTCTACAAGATTAGACGAGCCGCGGTGCAGCCAGTCAGCAGCTCATGGAGCGTCGAAGCTGCTCGGACGCAATGCACCTGCGCAAGCCGGTTGGGCATCACCTACACAGCGGCAAGATGTATGTGTCTCTTCAGCAGCACTGGGGGGTCGATGCCAAGATCAGCGCCTGCGCCACGATGGGTAGCTCTTCGCACGAACTGCCACGAAGAAGCTAATGCGCTGGGCAATAGCGCTCGCTACAGCAATGATGCACAGCAATCGAGGGTCCGCGGGACGGGAAGAAGAGTTTCCATGCTACGTCGCCGAATGTCACGACGGATCCAAGCAAGCTCGCACATCATTGCCGGGAGGGCGCGCACATCACGGCGTCGCACCCCGGACTGGCGCATACCAAGGCCCAGACGTCTCCCCGAAGGCGCATTTTGTCCTGCTCTGCCGTCTTTTCTCGCGGGATCGTCGTGATACTCGTCCACATGTCCAGACGCTGACGACCGAAAACCCGGACGGCGTCTTGTTTCAGAGTGCAGCTGTCAACGTTACAGGCGCCTCGGTCCCCAGGCCTCGCGTGCACCTGCCCTTGCGACGCTCCCTGCCAGGACGTCCAGCATCTCCTATCGTTCGTCATAGCCTGCATGTACGCCAGCCCGCTCAGGTATAATCCAATATTCCACCTTTGCTCACGACTCGCTCTTGCTACTTGTTTGCTTCTGTCCCGCCAAAAGCACCCACAACTCCCATGACCTTCCTCGCCCACCCCTCCACCTAGCCAGCGCGCGTTCCTGCATATCATCCGCGACCGAACGCCTGCACACGCCCTGTCGACAGCTAATTCCCCAAGACCTCCTATCCCTGCGCCCTCTTCGACACATTTGCATTCGCACCACGACGACGGATCCACGCCTTTGTGTTTCTTTCCACCCTCATTCAATCACTCCCATTGCAGCCGCCCTACTGCGAACCTTACGTTGCTGCGTCGCGTCCCGTCGCAACCGAGCTGTCAGATCGCGGCGGTCCTCTACCAACCCCACATCTTCAACCGCGGCTACTCGACGATTGATCACAAGATCGAGGTGGAGGGATCGACAGACTTGGCCCACTGCGCGCCCTGTTCCGGGGTCGTGATCGCCCTGCAACGGCGAGCGACGGCGCAGCGCCTGTCCCCGAGCGAGCGTCAGCATGGCCAACACCGCTACACCACCCTCCAACAATGACTCGCCCACGAGCAAGCCATTGCCCTCGAGAAAGAGAGCAAGCGATGCCACGCCCGACGACAAACCTAAGAGAACTCGTACCGGCTGCTTGACATGCAGAGAGCGCCATCTCAAGTGCGATGAGACCAAACCAACCTGCAACAACTGCCTCAAGTCCCAGCGCGAGTGCAATTGGGGCAAGAAGCTCAACTTCCTCGACACTACCTGCGAGAGGAATGCCTACCTGATCCCCCAAGGCATCGATTATCAGATCGCTTTCATGGACGAGTCACGGACAATTGCTTCGGAATATGTGGGCGGCCGAGAAATGTATCCAGTAGAGGACATGGACGCACATGTTCACATGGGCAACAACGGCTTCGGTATGGGACCGCCAGCTTCGTCGCGCCAGCATATTCCTCCCATTCAGGGCATCGCACAGGAATCGTACCAGCAAGCGCAACTCAACTACAACTTTGACCAACAGCGGACACAGCACCAACACGGGCGTTCAAGTAAGTCGACAGTCTATTCCAGCTGTCCGTGCTGACTCTTTAGTATCGAGTTTCTCAAACGGCCCAACACCGTCCCCGTACACAATGGAGCACTCGGCGAGTCCCGGACCCCTCCCCACCCGCGACTACCTGAAGAGCCAAGAGGAGGTCTTGTACATGCAAGTTTTCGTCGAGGAAATTGGCATTTGGATGGACAGCATGGATGCACACAAGCACTTCTCGCGTCTACTACCTTTCCATGCGCTCAACGAACCTATGCTGTTACACGCCTTCCTCGCGTGTGGGGCACGACATCTTGCCCTTGTCAATCCCAAGTACAGCGAGGAGAAAGCACTCCACTATTACGATGTAGCCACACGCGACCTATTGCACTCCCTGCAGGATCCCGACCGCGATACCATTCTATGCGCCACCACGGCGGTAATACTCAACGTTTACGAGATCATGGGAGAGCGTGCGCTACAGCGAATGAACCACATTGCGGGAGCTCGTGCTTTGATCAAGGAGTGCCGCTGGAACGCTAGGTCAACAGGCATTGGAGCCGCCTGTTTCTGGCTCAACGTTGGTATGGAGATACTGAGCTGTCTGCATTTCAACTGGCAGGTCGCTTGGGACCCCGACGAGTGGGGTATCGAGATGGACTTCACGCCAGAGACTGAGTCAGGCAAAGAAGAGGTCTGGACCCATCGCATTCTCTACGTCGTTGCAAGGATATGCAACTTCCGTGCATCGATACCGCGCAATCAGGAAGTCGCCAGGCAGACCTTGCAGGAACGGCACAACGAGTGGCTTCGGCTGAAAGACATGACTGACAGGTGGAACGAGAACATACCACGCACCATGCACCCAATGGCATATCTGTATCCCGGACAAACAATATCCGGTTCAGCGTTCCCCGAAGTCTGGCTGATCAAGAGAGCATCGATAATAGCGCGGCTCTTCTACCACACATCCCTTGTCTTGCTCGCGCAGATCAACCCACTACAAGGTCCTAGCGAACCCGATATGTGGGCCATGCTCGAGCAAAACTCAAAGTTCATCTGCGGTATTAGTGCACACGTCAAAGACCGTGGGGTTGCCAGCGTAGCGCTACGGTCCCTCGCCATCGCAGCTGAACCGCTCACAGACCGGCGCGAGCAGGAAGAGGTCCTCCAGATATTCGATAAGATCAGGCAAGAGACGGGTTGGCGTGTAGGCTTCGTCAATACAGAGCTGAAGCAGAAGTGGGGCTGGGATACGCCGCAAACCCAGGACCAGAAGCCACAGCAACAACCTCCGCCTCCGCCACCCCCACAACAGCAGCAGCAGATGAACGGCCACATGCAAGAAGGCAATGTTGTATACCAGCAACAGCCTCAGGTAGTCGTTCAGCAGCAGATGCCGCAAGTCTCGGTTGCACCTGCCCCAGTACAGCGGCGACCAACGGGCTTTGGCAACCCTCTGCTTGTAGCAGATTTCAGCATGCCACAACATCCTTACCAGACGCACTACGTGCCTGCAAACATTGTTCAGCAGCAGCAACCGCAGACATTACTTCAACCGCCGCTTACCGCGATGAACGGGTACGGCGGACAGCATTTCTTCTGAGCGTCCTTTGCACGACCCTCTTACTTCCAGGATTGTATTACTTGGCATCTTGTTCTTCCACCATTTCTATACACAAAAGGCAGGCGTTCGGATTTTATGTATCTCTACCCGGCATGGGATACTTCTCTAATGATGTCATGAGCAGCATATATGCGATAATTAATAGCCAGTCACACGGGCGATGTTCCGAACCAAGGTGGTGTAAATGGGACTTTTGTAAATATATATCCTCTATTTGAGAAGACATTGGTGCGAACCGGCCGTTAGTGTCTGGCATTGTTTGCGTGTACAATCCGTCAGCCATTGAATACTAAATTTCTCCATCCCGTTATCAGATGGCGAGGAGACAGCTTGAACCTCAGGTTCACTCCCTTTCCCAACTGCCGTACGCATGCACATCTCACTCGCATATAGCTCGGATCGTAATTGCTAGTTCAAAACCCAATCTTCGCTTCGGCAAAGTTCCGTTTGGTGTGATGAGGTAGCTTGATCTGCTAGTCGTTGTTAGGCCGCCTGTACCACCTGTCACTCCAGCCCTAACACTAGCTGTCTACGCCACATCTGCTAGTAAGATCGATCTCGTCTTTTCTCTCTTCATTCGGCAAAGGTGTGTTCATATATCAACACAGTGTTCTATCTAGTCGGTGCGAGGAGGTGTGGGTGGGTTGCGGCCATACAGTCAACTGTACACATCGCATTACCCCTTTTCGCTTATACTGCATCACACCCAGTTTGGTGCAGGATCGCAGTATGCCGCAGCCGACGTTGCATCTCAAGCCGCCGGATGATCTCCCTGAATCCCTAGAATCCTTCGTGCGCAAATTCCGTCAACAATCGTGCGAGCAAAGACCATGAGTAGTTTGTCGATCGGGTTCGCAATAACCGACACTACATCTCCACAAGCCAAGCACGAGGATTGACTTTGGCAACGTCGCGACTCGCCTTACCCACAGCGCCAGCTGGTGATTTATTCAATTGGTCGAATTAGCAAAATGGTGGCGCTTTCCCCTGTGTTTAGCGAGTCAGGGATGGAACCTGTGCCGCAATATGCGAGTTATACCCAAGCGCTCCAAGAGGGAACAAAGGAAATACGAACCAGGCATCCAGCCGCCAACTACGCCACAAAAGTGTCGGCTCATGTATTATCTTGGACAATGGCGCTCCTTCGGGATGTCAGCTTTGTCCCGCATTCTCTCCTCTTGGGAGACGTCTCTTTTTCTTTTTTTCCACTCTTCTGTTCAAGATGCATCGCGCAGTCCGGGATGAGAAAGGCCTACATTATGCGTCAAGGAGACATCGTTCTCCGGTCGGACTGACTCGGAGGCGCAGTCGCCGCACGGTACTTCTCGTAATTGCAGTCTGCTTCCTCGTTCTGTACAAATTCTTTCTGCCAGCGCATCACGGAATTGCCCTCCATCCATCAGTCATCAATGATACATCAGCCTCTAGGATACTACCCGCAAAGGAAACCCCACAAGGCGCCGAGACACCAAGATGTCCAGAATCGGCAGTTGCAAACGACATTCTAGTAGTGGTCCGAACAGGTGCAACGGAAATTCTTGAGAAGCTACCCGTTCACTTCGAAACAACACTTCGTTGCGTGCCAGATTACATCATCTACTCCGACTTGAAAGAGGAGATTGACGGGCATCAAATACACGATGTTTTCGAAGGCATCAGTGAAGAACTCAGAACTTC